TTGACTGCGAGATGTATAGGTTATAAATGTGTTATGAAGTCCTTTATAGGTACTCTTTAAATAAAGTTGCCATTACTAACCAATACTGTGTTAAAGCCTTGGGTGTCAGACTGAGTAGGTTGAGTTTTGCAGTGAGCCAGTCTGGCTGAATCCTGTGCCACTATTGTGGTCCTCTGTAGCTCAATTGGTAGAGCATGGCGCTTGTAACGCCAGGTTCGATCCCCGTGGCGCTTGTAGTGGGTTCGATCCCCGGGACCACCCATACGTAAAAATGTATGCACGCATGACTGTAAGTCGCTTCGGATAAAAGCGTCTGCTAAATGGCATATTATTATTATATATTAATATTACTATTTGGGTGTTTAGTTGTGGTGCTCAGTCACCTTGCTGAACTTTCCCTCTCTCGGTTAAGTAGATTTACCCAGGCTATCCCAGGAGCAGTTCCATTAAACAAGCTATGTTCTTCCCTTTCCAAACAAACCCATGCTATCTGATAATGACTCACCTGTGAAAACAGGGAAACACTGGGGTTGGGAGGAGAAGCGAAGGGAAGGAGGGAATAGAGCGAGGGAGGTCAGAAACATCAGTACATGTGATAATGAGAGAGAGAGAGAGAGAGAGAGAGAGAGAGAGAGAGAGAGAGAGAGAGAGAGAGAGAAAGAGAGAGAGAGAGCTCTTGACAGCCACCAGGATTAGGGTGCTACTGCCTTCCACATCTCAAGAGGGCCGTTACCTGGGCAACAGTACAGAAGGTAAACCTGGAGTGCCGGCATGTCTGATAGCTATCATGGCATTCAGCCTGCTCACTCTCACTAAACCTGTACGACCATATAAATAAAAGGTTTAAACGGTATAACAGCCAGGCACATTCTTTTTTTATCATACAAAGTTTTCCCATACAAACATTCTGTGGGCTGTGAACCTTTACAGAAAATCCACATGAATTTCACATGTGATCTTATGTGAAGTTAATGTGATAACATGTGACAACATGTAAAAGCAACATTACATTTACATTACATTTTAGTCATTTAGCAGACGCTCTTATCCAGAGCGACTTACAGTTAGTGAATACATATTTTTTTATACTGGCCCCCTGTGGGAATCGAACCCACAACCCTGGCGTTGCAAACGCCATGCTCTATCAACTGAGCTACATCCCTGCCGGCCATTCCCTCCCCTACCCTGGACAACGCTGGGCCAATTGTGCGCCGCCCCTGAGTCTCCCGGTCGCGGCCGGCTGCGACAGAGCCTGGATACGAACCAGGATCTCTAGTGACACAGTTAGCACTGCGATGCAGTGCCTTAGACCACTGCGCCACTCAGGAGACTATGTGATAATATGAAACTACATATGTGAAAACATGATCTCATGTGAAATAAATGTGACATTTCGATGCAAAATTTCAACATGTGATACCATGAAAGTACAAATTTGAGCTTGTGAAAACCTGATCGATTGTGAAATAAATGTGACAACATGGGGATCCACATTATTATTATTTTTTAAGAGTGCCATCTGTATGGAGCCAATTTGAGTTTAAAGGAATTGATCCAAAAGAAAAAAGAATGCAATTTTTATTTTATTTTTATTATTCTTCGAAAGTTAAGTAATGCACGTTCAAACTGAAAATAAAATAAAAATGTAAACAAAAAATATTGTATTGAATGATTTAAAAAATATATCAAATGCATTGAAAATGTTTTTTAATACACATACACTCAATTAGTATTTGGTAGCATTGCCTTTAAATTGTTTAACTTGGGTCAAACGTTTCGGGTAGCCTTCCACAAGCTTCCCACAATAAGTTGGGTGAATTTTGGCCCATTTCTCCTGACAGAGCTGGTGTAACTGAGTCGGGTTTGTAGACCTCCTTGCTCGCATACACTTTTTTAGTTCAGCCCACAGAGTTTCTATAGGATTGAGGTCAGGGCTTTGTGATGGCCACTCCAATACCTTGACTTTGTTGTCCTTAAGCCATTTTGCCACAAATTTGGAAGTATGCTTGGGGTCATGGTCCATTTGGAAAACCCATTTGCGACCAAGCTTTAACTTCCTGACTGATGTCTTGAGATGTTGCTTCAATATATCCACATAATTTTCCTTCCTCATGATGTCATCTATTTTGTGAAGCGCACCAGTCCCACCTGCAGCAAAGCACCCCCACAGCATGATGCTGCCACCCCCGTGCTTCACGGTGTTCTTTGGCTTGCAATTCCACATTTTTTCCTCCAAACATGGTCGATGGTCATTATAGCCAAACAGTTCTATTTTTGTTTCATCAGACCAGAGGACATTTCTCAAAAAAGTATGATATTTGTCCCCATGTGCAGTTGCAAACCGTAGTCTGGCTTTTTTATGGTGGTTTTGGAGCAGTGGCTTCTTCCTTGCTGAGCGGACTTTCCGGTTATGTCGATATAGGACTCGTTTTACTGTGGATATAGATACTTTTGTACCTGTTTCCTCCAGCATTTTCACAAGGTCCTTTGCTGTTGTTCTGGAATTGATTTGCGCTTTTTGCACCAAAGTACGTTAATCTCTAGGAGACAGAACACGTCTCCTTCCTGAGCGGTATGACGGCTGCGTGGTCCCATGGTGTTTATACTTGCATACTATTGTTTGTACAGATGAATGTGGTACCTTCAGGTGTTTGGAAATTGCTCCCAAGGATAAACCAGACTTGTGGAGGTCTACAATATTTTTTCTGAGGCCTTGGCTGATTTCTTTTGATTTTCCCATGATGTCAAGCAAAGAGGCACTGAGATTGAAGGTAGGCCTTGAGATACATCCACAGGTACACCTCCAATTGACTCAAATGATGTCAATTAGCCTATCAGAAGCTTCTAAAGCCATGACATCATTTTCTGGAATTTTCCAAGATGTTTAAAGGCACAGTCAACTTAGTGTATGTAAACTTCTGACCCACTGGAATTGTGATACACTGAATTATAAGTGAAATAATCTGTCTGTAAACAATTTTTGGAAAAATTACTTGTGTCATGCACAAAGTAGATGTCCTAACCGACTTGCCAAAACTATAGTTTGTTAACAAGACATTTGTGGTGGTTGAAAAACTAGTTTTATTGACTCCAACCTAAGTGTATGTAAACTACAAAATTAGCAGGGGATCAAATACTTTTTTCCCTCACTGTGTATATATATATATATATATATATATATATATATATATATATATATATATATATATATATACACAGTGAGGGAAAAAAGTATTTGATCCCCTGCTAATTTTGTATGTTTGCCCACTGACAAAGAAATGATCAGTCTATAATTTTAATGGTAGGTTTATTTGAACAGTGAGAGACAGAATAACAACAACAAAAATCCAGAAAAACGCATGTAAAAAATGTTATAAATTGATTTGCATTTTAATGAGGGAAATAAGTATTTGACCCCCTCTCAATCAGAAAGATTTCTGGCTCCCAGGTGTTTTTTATACAAGTAACGAGCTGAGATTAGGAGCACACTTAAAGGGAGTGCTCCTAATCTCAGCTTGTTACCTGTATAAAAGACACCTGTCCACAGAAGCAATCAATCAATCAGATTCCAAACTCTCCACCATGGCCAAGACCAAAGTGCTCTCCAAGGATGTCAGGGAGAAGATTGTAGACCTACCATTAGCTGGAATGTGCTACAAGACCATCGCCAAGCAGCTTGGTGAGAAGGTGACAACAGTTAGTGCGATTATTCGCAAATGGAAGAAACACAAAATAACTGTCAATCTCCCTCGGCCTGGGGCTCCATGCAAGATCTCACCTCGTGGAGTTGCAATGATCATGAGAACGGTGAGGAATCAGCCCAGAACTACATGGCAGGATTTGTCAATGATCTCAAGGCAGCTGGGACCATAGTCACCAAGAAAACAATTGGTAACACACTACGCCGTGAAGGACTGAAATCCTGCAGCACCCGCAAGGTCCCCCTGCTCAAGAAAGCACATATACAGGCCCGTCTGAAGTTTGCCAATGAACATCTGAATGATTCAGAGGAGAACTGGGTGAAAGTGTTGTGGTCAGATGAGACCAAAATGGAGCTCTTTGGCATCAACTCAACTCGCCGTGTTTGGAGGAGGAGGAATGCTGCCTATGACCCCAAGAACACCATCCCCACTGTCAAACATGGAGGAGGAAACATTATGCTTTGGGGGTGTTTTTCTGCTAAGGGGACAGGACAACTTCACCGCATCAAAGGGTCGATGGACGGCGCCATGTACCGCCAAATCTTGGTTGAGAACCTCCTTCCCTCAGCCAGGGCATTGAAAATGGGTCGTGGATGGGTATTCCAGCATCACAATGACCCAAAACACACGGCCAAGGCAACAAAGGAGTGGCTCAAGAAGAAACACATTAAGGTCCTGGAGTGGCCTAGCCAGTCTCCAGACCTTAATCCCATAGAAAATATGTGGAGGGAGCTGATGGTTCGAGTTGCCAAACGTCAGCCTCGAAACCTTAATGACTTGGAGAAGATCTGCAAAGAGGAGTGGGACAAAATCCCTCCTGAGATGTGTGCAAACCTGGTGGTCAACTACAAGAAACATCTGACCTCTGTGATTGCCAACAAGGGTTTTGCCACCAACTACTAAGTCATGTTTTGCAGAGGGGTCAAATACTTATTTCCCTCATTAAAATGCAAATCAATGTATAACATTTTTTACATGCATTTTTCTGGATTTTTTTGTTGTTATTCTGTCTCTCACTGTTCAAATAAACCTACCATTAAAATTATAGACTGATCATGTCTTTGTCAGTGGGCAAACGTACAAAATCAGCAGGGGATCAAATACTTTTTTCCCTCACTGTGTGTATATATATATATATATAATTGTTTGTATGTATAAGTAGTGTAGTATAGCTAGTATTGTGTGTGTTTGTTAGTTTCTTCAAATGTACTATTCTCTAATTTGTGGCTGCAACTAGTGCTAGCTAGCTAACAATAGCTGATAGGTGCTAGCTAGCAGTTGGAACGTAACGACATCAACATGAAGAGGATCAAGACGTGTACCCTGAAGAAAGATAGGATAATATTTCAGAGAAGAGAGGTCAGCTCCTCTGAACATAGCTGTGTGCCGCTGTGCAGCTCCTCTCTTATCCAGTCTGTCATTCCACTCTTTCCCTGCCGATGATGAGCTACGAAAGAAGTGGGTGATAATATCTGGCGAGAACTTCACCATTGGGAAAAGCTCTAAGGTCTCTGGCAGACATTTCCTTCCTGAAGATGTAGTTGAGCCAACTCCGGGAGAGCTGCATCATCTGAGGAAGGAGGCAGTGCCTCTTCTTTTCCATTGGAACAATTATGTTCTTCCCTCAAGGCCGAGTGTTTGGGAGAAGAGAGAGAAATGGCACATCGACGATGCAGAGGATGGTGGAGATGAAGTTGATGATGATGATATGGACTGTGTTCCCAGAACCACAACTACTGTGCAGTACCTGAGCCAGCAGCAGTTGACTTGGCTGTTGACTTGGCCTGGTCTGAACAGGAGGAGTTGCAGAGTGAGATAGATAGCTAGGCTTGGGAGAGAGCTGGAAGAGATAACAACTTCTGACTGTCTTGATCTGCAGGGTTTGTGGGATCAGATGAGGACATAGGATTCTACACTAGGAAGGTTGATGACTCTAAACCAACATAACTTGTATTGTATGGTATCAATAGGTAGTTGATGATGAAATGTATGCTATTGCTGAGACCTTATCAGTCCTCTATTGTTTCATTCTTCCAACAGATTTTCCAGTTATGACCATCTTGTAGCTTTTTGGAGACTGATTGAGCCAGCAACTGCCAAGCTTGTGTGCGTTACTCGAGCAGCAAGAGCAACTCAGAGGAATAAGGTCACTTTTCAATCCAAGTACTCCGTAAGAGTTTGATCGTTTTCAAGTAGTAAATCAGTTGCAACATTGTGTTATTATCAATAATCATTTTCTTGAGAATGTGATGTATGTTAAATGAAATACACAATACAACAATATACACTGAGTGTACAAAACATTAAGAACACCTGCTCTTTCCATGACATAGACTGACCAGGTGAATCCAAGTGAAAGCTATGATCCCTTATTGATGTCACTTGTTAATTCCACTTCAATCAGTGTAGATGAAGGGGAGGAGACAGGTTAAAGAAGGATTTTTAAGCCTTGAGACAATTGAGACATGCTTTGTGTATGTGTGCCATTCAGAGGTAAATGGGCAAGACAAAAGATTTAAGTGCCTTTGAAAGGGGTATGGTAGTAAGTGCCAGGTGCACCTGTTTGTGTCAAGAATGGCAACGCTGCTGGGTTTTTCACACTCAACAGTTTCCGTGTGTATCAAGAATGGTCTACCACCCAAAGGACATCCAGCCAACTTGGCGAAGCATTGGAGTCAACATGGGCCAGCATCCCTGTTGTACGCTTTCGACATCTTGTAGAGTCCATGCCCTGACGAATTGAGGCTGTTCTGAGGGCAAAAAGTATTAATTAGGAAGGTGTTCTTAATGTTTTGTGTACATCAAATACACACACGATGCATCCACAGTCAAGCTCCTGAAAGCATTATGCTTCCACCTACAAAATGGCTGTGCAGGCCCTATAAAACTAATAACAATGATGTGATAAAAATGTACAGCAATGACATCGAACTAATCAATTATAGTTCACACTGTATGTTGACTGTGTTTACAGATACAGACGTTGCAGCAAGTGGATGAGCTATTCCTCTTCCTCACACATCTCGCTCTGGGGTTGAAGGACAGAGACCTGGGCCAACACTTTCACATCCATCCCTCTACAGTCAGTAGGATCATCATCATCACTTGGGCCAACTTCCTATACACGCTGGAAGTGAAGGCCAACTTGCCGGAGGAATTTAAAAGCTACCCAGACACGCAGGTCATTGTTGACAGCACCTCTCTTCTGCTGCAGAGTGAGATGTTCTCCAACTACAAATCCCACCGCACAATGAAGGCATTAGTGGGAATAGCTCTTCATGGACGATCACCTTTGTGTCCTCACTGTACACAGGCACAATCAGCGGCAAAGACATTTTCAAACAGTCAGGCATCCAACACCTTCTCACGAGGACATGGCAGTAATGGCCAACAACGGGTTCCCCATCAATGACCTTGTACCAGAGAAGGTCTAACATCCCCCATTCCTCTCAAAACAGAACCAAATACTAACAGCAGAAGTTCATCAGACAGAAGAGATCGCTTGCCTGAGGATCCATGTGGAGCGGGTGATTCGGAGGGTTAAGGAGAACAAGTTGTTTGACGCCAACATTCCCCTAGCTATTGCAGGAAGCATCAACCAGCTCTTCACTGTGGCATGCCTGCTCTCCAACTACCAGTGTAGAGCTCTTGTCAAGAAATGGGCCAAGGAGGTGTGAGATGCAGACCTGTGTGGTTTGGTGTGACGACACCGTTGTGCAATCAGGTGTTTGCTTCAGCGTCGAGGGAAAAGGAGCGAAATTCGACTACTCATCGTTTATATTGATGCTGACGAATTTATATGTTATGCTGATATTGACATGCCATTTTGATTCAATTATTTGTGATACTGACATTGACGTTATTTTAAATGTCGATCATCATTGGATTACCATTTACCAGTTGTAAATAAATATGCCAGTTTAGGTTTGCTTCCAGTCTCATTAATCCTCCTAAAGTAAACCTATCCTGATTAAGAGTATCCTTGCCCAGTTGCACATATAGTTTAAGACAAGAGTATTTTAGTAATTTTACACATTGAAGTGACATTTCTATTCCAAACACAAACATTTAGATACGGTTACAATAAATATATTTTTTATATGAATATACAACACATTGAACTATAATTTTGGTATTATTTAATCAAACAATTGTGGATGCACAGACAGCATAGTCAAAAAACTGTATAACAAATCAATCATCAACAAGAAATTAGTTCAATTCAATGTAAGGGCTTCACACATTGTGGGACTGCGCTTGGGCTGAAACAGATTTAGTACTGTGTCTTCACAGACAAGTACTTCTGCATGTACACGTTGGAATACTAGGAGCCTGCCTTCTCTCTGATCACCCCTGTGACCTCGGGTTCAAGGTGCAGTCGCTGCACAAGCACATCTTCCTGGGCATAGACAACAGTCACACCACTCTAGCCCAGTCATGAGTAGCGTGCTCTGCACCTGCCAATAGTACGCATGGCTCCTCCGTAGGGTAAAAGTGCTGTGTTGCATTTGCAGATATTTATATCAACATATTTTTTTTTACGTTGGAGCACTTTATTTCAACCAATCCCAAAAGGTGGCCACTCCATGGGAAACAATCATGCACTGCGCTCGGCCAAGCTGGTAGTCGACGAGAGGTAGGGTTGGATTTGGTGGAGCATCTTGCTGGAGTTTAATGTGCTTAGTAGTAAGCTTCGGCTGCTGGTAAGATAGGACACTCCCCTTCTGCACCAACCCGGAAGTCCACTCGAGGCCTGTCAACAGTCATGCCCATGGTTTTCCCCAGCAGTTTGTCCAGCATGTGGAAATGCCTGTAGGTCTCTTCCACCTTCAGCACAGAGAGATCCGGCAACAGTCAAACAATTCCTGTGTACAGTGTGCTTCTATAGTGTACAACATATAAATACAGGATCAGTAAATTAATAGACAGAAATGATGAGATCTTAAACAATAAATTACAGCAACTTCATAGCTTACCACACTTGCCATGCGTTTTGGTGTAGGCTTGGATATAACCATCTTGTCAATGGGCCCAGGTTTCACACCCTGTGCGACAGATATGGAGCTATGTTTGCAACCTCTGAGAGGGAGAACCAATCGTAGATCAGGAAAACACTGTTTTAGTAAACACTGAATGTGGACCACTGACAGTAAATAGTAATCAAGTGGCTTGCGAAAGTATTCACCCCCCTTGGCACTTTTCCTATTTTGTTGCCTTACAACCTGGAATTAAAATTGATTTTTTTGGGGTTTGTATCATTTGATTTACACAACATGCCTACCACTTTGAAGATGCAAAATATTTTTTGTGTGTGAAACAAACAAGAAATAAATAAAAAACTTGAGCGTGCATAACTATTTTCACCCCCCCAAAGTCAATACTTTGTAGAGACACCTTTTGCAGCAATTACAGCTGCAAGTCTCTTGGGGTATGTCTCTATAAGCTTGGCACATCTAGCCACTGGGATCTTTGCCCATTCTTCAAGCCAAAACTGTTCCAGCTCCTTCAAGTTGGATGGGTTCCGCTGGTGTACAGCAATCTTTAAGTCATACCACAGATTCTCAATTGGATTGAGGTCTGGGCTTTGACTAGGCCATTCCAAGACATTTAAATGTTTCCCCTTAAACCACTCAAGTGTTGCTTTAGCAGTATGCTTAGGGTCATTGTCCTGCTGGAAGGTGAACCTCCGTCCCAGTCTCAAATCTCTGAAAGACTGAAACAGGTTTCCCTCAAGAATTTCCCTGTATTTAGCGCCATCCATCATTCCTTCAATTCTGACCAGTTTCCCAGTACCTGCCGATGAAAAACATCCCCACAGCATGATGCTGCCACCACCATGCTTCATTGCGGGGATGGTGTTCTCGGGGTGATGAGAGGTGTTGGGTTTGCGCCAGACATAGCGTTTTTCTTGATGGCCAAAAAGCTTTTAGTCTCATCTGACCAGAGTACCTTCTTCCATATGTTTGGGGAGTCTCCCACATGCCTTTTGGCGAACACCAAACTTGTTTGCTTAATTTTTTCTTTAAGCAATGGCTTTTTTCTGGCCACTCTTCCATAAAGCCCAGCTCTGTGGAGTGTACGGCTTAAAATGGTCCTATGGACAGATACTCCAATCTCCGCTGTGGAGCTTTGCAGCTCCTTCAGGGTTATCTTTGGTATCTTTGTTGCCTCTCTGATTAATGCCCTCCTTGCCTGGTCCGTGAGTTTTGATGGGCGGCCCTCTCTTGGCAGGTTTGTTGTGGTGCCATATTCGTTCCATTTTTTAATAATGGATTTAATGGTGCTCCGTGGGATGTTCAAAGTTTCGTATATTTTTTTATAACCCAACCCTGATCTGTACTTCTCCACAACTTTGTCCCTGACCTGTTTGGATAACTCCTTGGTCTTCATGGTGCCGCTTGCTTGGTGGTGCCCCTTGCTTAGTGGTGTTGCAGACTCTGGGGCCTTTCAGAACATGTTAGAACACTTAGATTGCACAAAGGTGGACTTTATTTAACTAGTTATGTGACTTCTGAAGGTCATTGGTTGCACCAGATCTTATTTAGGGGCTTCATAGCAAAGGGGGTGAATACATATGCACGCACCACTTTTCCGTTATTTATTTTTTAGACTTTTTTGAAACCATTTATTTTTTTCATTTCACTTCACCAATTTGGACTATTTTGTGTATGTCCATTTCATGAAATCCAAATAAAAATCCATTTAATTTACAGGTTGTAATGCAACAAAATAGGAAAAATGCCAAGAGGGATGAATACTTGCACTGTACCTTCAAACTCAGTGCCTCTTTGCTTGACATCATGGGAAAATCCAAAAAAATGTGTAGACCTCCACAAGTCTGGTTCATCCTTGGGAGCAATTTCCAAATGCCTGAATGTACCACGTTCATCTGTACAAACAATAGTACGCAAGTATAAACACCATGGGACCACGCAGCCATCATACTGCTCAGGAAGGAGACGTGTTCTGTCTCCTAGAGATTAACGTACTTTGGTGCGAAAAGCGAAAATCAATCCCAGAACAACAGCAAAGGACCTTGTGAAGATGCTGGAGGAAACAGGTACAAAAGTATCTATATCCACAGTAAAACAGTCCTATATCGACATAACCTGAAAGGGCGCTCAGCAAGGAAGAAGCCACTGCTCCAAAACCGCCATTAAAAAGCCAGACTACGGTTTGCAACTGCACATGGGGACAAAGATCATACTTTTTGGATAAATGTCCTCTGGTCTGATGAAACAACAATATAACTGTTTTGCCATAATGACCATGGTTATGTTTGGAGGAAAAAGGGGAAGGCTTGCAAGCCAAAGAACACCAACTCAACCGTGAAGCACGGGGGTGGCAGCATCATGCTGTGGGGGTGCTTTGCTGCAGGAGGGACTGGTGCACTTCACAAAATAGATGGCATCATGAGGAAGGAAAATTGTGGATATATTGAAGCAACATCTCAAGACATCAATCAGGAAGTTAAAGCTTGGTCGCAAATGGGTCTTCCAAATGGACAATGACCCCAAGCATACTTCTAAAGTTGTGGCAAAATGGCTTAAGGACAACAAATTCAAGGTATTGGAGTGGCCATCACGAAGCCCTGACCTTAATCCTATAGAACATTTGTGGGCAGAACTGAAAATGTGTGTGCGAGCAAGGAGGGCTACAAACCTGACTCAGTTACACCAGCTCTGACAGGAGGAACGGGCCAAAATTCACCCAACTAATTGTGGGAAGCTTGTGGAAGGCTACCCGAAACGTTTCCAGGTCAAACAATTTAAAGACAATGCTATAAAATACTAATTGAGTGTATGTAAACTTCTGACCCACTGGGAACGTGATGAAATAAATAAAAGCTGAAATAAATCATTCTCTATACTATTATTCTGACATTTCACATTCTTAAAATAAAGTGGTGATCCTAACTGACCTAAAACAGGGATTTTTTAAAAACTGAATTTAAATGTATTTGGCTAAGGTGTATGTAAACTTCCGACTTCAACTGTATATAATAGTTTTTCTTGAGTGTATTTTTAACAAAACTGAGATTTACTTTACTTAAGTAGAAAGTGTAGACTAGGATTACATGTGAAATCAGTCATTGACACAGACATAGTGGCGTAGCAGGAAGATCAGAATGCCGTGAACCAAGAGGTTGAGAGTTCAAATCCCAGGTGATGACATGTTGAATAAGAATTACTGTATATATAAACATACACAATGTAATCATGTATGTCAAAGTGTGTCATATATATATGTAGAAAATACTATGTTAAAAGCACTGTTTATCCTAACAACTCATTTTCATTTGCAGCGCATCCCCTGTGAAATTCAATAAAAAAAATATGTGAAAATGTGAAAATGTGAATCCACGATTATGTGATCACGTGAACCTTCATGTGAAATATCATTACATGATCTCACGTATAAAAAAAATGTACATGTGCAAAACTTGTTTTTTCTGTAAGAAAAGTGTAACCTTCCCTTTAGCTGTGTGTTTGTGTGTGTGTGTGTGTGTGTGTGTGTGTGTGTGTGTGTGTGTGTGTGCTGCATTCATAGCTGCTGTGATCCTCAACAGTCCAAGGTAATGATTACCCGTGCCTGTCTCAGCCCATCAGCTAATCATGATTCCTCCATGCAAGGCCACAGGTGGGATAGAAAACACTGCTATCCAGAGTTCCTGTTTGGCATGTCAGAGCCATCACTCTGTGTAGGCTTTCCTGGAGCCACACTATCCTTAATACAACTCATTTAGCGACTGGCTCCAACAGTGGGATGATAGATCAAACGTCACTCTCTGTCAAGGCCACCTTGGTTTCTCAATGGCTCAATGCATCAGGGATTTTCTTATTCTGGGTCCAGGAAATAGAGAGAAATTACAGCAAATTAATACCAATCCTTTTAATAGGACTGTTTGATTATGTGATAAACAAGATAACATTGAGATCCAAAACGAAATAATAAGCCCAGTGTAGGCCTTTCTGAGCTGGTCTGTTATATGTTTAAAGGGCGATATTTAAAGGCCCAGTGCAGTCAAAAACTAGATTTTCCTGTGTTTTATATTTATTTAGACACTATGAGGTTGGGATAATACTGTGAAATTCCCTTTTAGTCTAAGAGCTGTTTGAAAAGACTGCATGACATTTCAGGCTGTTTTGGTGGGATGGAGTTTTGGCCTGCCTGGTGACAACACCAGGCGGTAAATTAGTTAGTTCCAAACCTCCCTGCCAATAACATCGAGTTTTAAGTTTCCCCTCCCCACTCAGACCACTCCTAGACAGTCCTAGCAAAATTCTTTTCAGAAGCTATTTGAGTTTCTTTTTGACCATTTTTATTTAAAACAATCACAGTAAGGTACTTTATTGTTACCCATAAATGATTTGATATTGAGATAAAAAACAGCTGCATTGGACCTTTAAGGCTAACTATCATGTATAGTATTCAGCATTAGTATGTATTACCATACACACCATTACAATCGAAACTTAGCAGATGTATAGTCTTGCTGACTGACTGACCACTCAAGAGATGGAAATCAATTATTAATGAGGGCATGTAAATGAACAGAGAAACAACAAAGTCAGTCTTCAGAAATATTCAAACTCTGTATGACCTAAAAGACCACTCACATCGCACCAAACGTTGATCTGCTGTTGGTCTGACGATCATTTGGCACGCTGTGTTTCGGTTCGCACTCAGTTTGCAAATTGCTAAGTACTCTCTGCCCTCAAATTGCTAAGTACTCTCTGCCCTCAAACTGCTAAGTACTCTCGGCCGGCAAATGCTATTGGTGTGTCTGAGTCTTAACTGACCATACTATGCTATTGATCATACTACGTTGTGGTCAAAATGTGTGTGTGTGAACCAAAGAATAGGGCTAGAAAGTCATCAGGTTCATGTCCCTAGCGTGACCCCGGGCTGTACTAGATAAGGCCAGACCACAGCTGGTGCCTTTATAATTCCTTTATAATGCCTACATGACACTCTGATCCCCATACTGAACCATATAGACCCACAGATGAATAACTTCCACCATGTGTCACTCACAGACCCAGGGAGGACACAAACATCATTCTGTATTCTGTTTGAATGGGAAATCTGACTTGAACTGTGTTTATTTAGAATTCACTGGTTTATGAATTCACATTATGGAGCATTCTGTATGTGCACTGTACAGTACAGTATGGCGTCTCCTTTTTCTGTATTGAAGTATAATTGTAGGGTTTTACACACTGTACTGTTCAATCAGTTTTAAATTGTCTTGTTTGAACAGGATGTTCTGTTTTTGTAACTGTTTCACTCCTATAATTTCACAAAGCAGACACTGCCTGTAGCCTTTACATGTTCCAGCACTAGTTCTCGGAGAGAGGAAAATTACCTTGAATGATGCTTGACCCAAACTAAACACTGACTACTAAACAAATTGGATCGCATTAAAGTTTTAGCTCATGTCTCACCACGGGTCTGCAGTGCACATCCTTTCTAGCTGGGTAGCTCAACTCATGATTTCTGCAGCAGTGAGGACTGTGTTGGAGACAAAGACACGCTGCTATTCCCCTGAAAGGAACTAGCACGGAAGGACAGGAGATGCTATTCCCCTGAAAGGAACTAGCACGGAAGGACAGGAGAGTGAAGCGCTTACTTAACCAGGTGGAAAGAGAACCGGGGACTGTGTGAAAGCTGAAGGGGATAAGATGTTGTTGGGTTATTCCTTTAACTAGCCCCCTGTCCCTGATCATGTAGTGAAAATGAACTAGGCCTATGACAGTGTCCTAAATGGCACTATATTACCTACAGTATAAAGTGCCCTACACTATGGGCCCTGTTTAAAAGTAGTGCACTATATAGGGAATAGGGTGCAATTTGGGACTCAGATTATTACTTATTGACCACCGTTGCATCAGTCAGTCAGGAAACATCTCATTATACTATGGAGGCCTATTTATGGTGGTTCCAGTGATATAAGGTGATATTACCATAATGTCCCCATTTGTCAGTTGTAACAGCTCTGACATAACTCAAGTGCTTTGGTCTTATGTAATGAGGTGATGAAACAGAGCCAATGAGCAGAGCACTGACATACATTCCACTGGCTCATCCCAGTTTCCCTAGTGGTGTTTCAAACGCAGCTGGCTCTCTCCTAATTCCATTCACTGACTGAGAATAGCCAAGGATTACAGCACAGCATTCCCACATTTACATCCTGACTGGAATATCAATGGGAAGTACAGGGATGGGATCAATTCCATTTCAATTCAGGAAGTAAACTTAAATTCCAATTCAAATGTTCCTCATGGGTCATTCAGTTTATGTCCTGATTTTAAAGGCATAGACCTCAACCCTGTACAGTTTACTTCCTGAATTGAAACCTTAACTCTGTTATCCACAGGATTTCTGCTGATCCACAGAATTGCTACAGTACTCAGATCATGAATGCTTCCCTTTGCCTCCTTGTTGTTTTCAGTCATGGAAAGCCTAGATATTTCAGTCCACTCAAGTTGCATCGGGGCTAAGGACTTCCAGGAGCCAGTCTGGCTGGGCTCTAGAGGTAAAGGGTCATTGGCTGCCTCTGGGAGGGGTGAGGAGGCTAGGGGGCAGAGATGACAGAGCTCATTCATCCAGAATAGGATGTGAGACATGTTGGTCTAGGAGACAAAGGGAGGATTCTGAGTAGGGTTGTAAGGACACATACGGTGACAGTGTTATGAGGGGCAGGTGGAATAGACCAAGCGTAGCCCCACAGAATAACAATGTAAAGACACAGGGAATTAGGGGTACAAAAGATTCCAACCACTATCTAAAACGACCACATCGAATACGAATATGAACTCCTGACCAAAGGAGCCTGGTTAACCTAAAACCTGTGATCTCCCCAGATGATTCCACCAGATGTGTTATAATGGTCTTCTATTTATTTATGTGGCTGTATTCATGTTTACCACAGAAAGCTTAGTTCATCATTATCTTGAAGTGTAATAAAATAAGTAAAAGGATGATGCATGGGTGTCTGTCACACACACACACACACACACACACAGAGCTGATTTGAAGATGAAAGACAAACAAACAGAGCTCCTTATAATGTGGCTCTTCTCTACTGTCTTCGGGCCAGGCACTGAGCCACATGACACTTCACACGACAGCACTGAAGCCCTGGGTGAATACGTAGCATCATAGTGTTGTCCACCTAACAATGTTCTCACCTCAACATTTCAGCTAATCCTGTCCTAACAAGTCCTGACTCCACATAATTTCATAAGGGTAATGAAAAAGGACATGGATTGTATGGCAACATTGCAAACGAGTCAAACAGGTTGGTGATTCTCCACAGTTAATGACAGACATACAGTATTTATAAAATAGGCTCACCACATGTGATGTTTCCTCTCCACAGCATTTTCAAAACAAATTAAAATACTTAATTTTCACATTTGTTACGACACCTTCGATAGTCAATTTCCCAACAAAAAAAGTCATTTCCTGAGAATCAATTGATTCATGACTTACTCACTGAGCAGACTACATCCACCACAACAGTAAAAAGATATATATCTCAACTCCTACACTGAATTCAAGTGCTTCTTGAAAGCCAAGAACAGCATCAATTAAAAGACAATGCTTCATGACTCTGCATTCATTGGCTGAGTTTAAGAGTCCTTGAGTAGGTGATTCACACAGCCAAGTGGTACCACTGAGAATAGGGAAGCCAAGGCTGGTTCCTACTAAAGCAGCCTGCCTGGCTCTTCTCCTCCTGCTGTGACGATAACAGACAGCGGGACACTTTGACTCGGTTTGATTGGGTTCACCACTGACAGCCGCAATCAGGCTGGGGCTCAGGAAAGTAGAGGAGAGAGCATATGCTTGCCAGATACCCATCAGACAGTCTGACTCTGTGTTATTCAGAATGGGCAGCATAGAATAAAACAGAATATGTATCATTTTGCACAGACATTTCTGTAAGACGCAGTATCCAACCCGATACACCACACATGCACACAAACACAACATGCTGAGAGCAGCAGCTTCCTTCACACTGATCAGACTGTTAAAAGGCACATCACATAATCAACACAATCAAGACTGGTTCAGAGAATGGTTTTTACAGTTATTAAAAACACAATCATAAGAAGCAGATGAGCTTGAATTTCCCATAACTAATATGAGAGGTAGTAGAGCAGGGATCATCAATTAGTTCAGCCGCGGGCCAATTTTTTCTTGAGCGTGTGGTCAGGGGGCCGGAACATAATTACTAATAATTTGTAGACTGCAAATTGACCGCAAGAAGCCCAAACAGATATAATATTTGTCTAAATCATAATCATTTCAAACCTTGGTTACATTTGTATACGATCACATATATCTATTATGCGTGGGAATACTTTGGAACAGATTTCCAAAATTAAAATCACTTGGAGCTGGTTTGCTTGTGATTTTACAGTCTTCTATGTCCAATAATGTTTTACTTTTTTTATAATAATTTTGCTCATTAAACTTGTGGGGCCTCTTCAGTTTTGTATTTGTATTTATTCCGGATCCCCATTAGCTGTTTCCAAGGTAGCAGCTACTCTTCCTGGGGTCCAATCACAACTACATACAATAAAACAATACATAGCACAACACATTATTACTACTCTACCATAACATATCTACAATACAAAATGAATAACACAGGAAAAGAACAATAAATGTATGTGTGTGTAAGGTGCGTGTGTTAGCATGTGTTTGCAAATGCTGTGTGTGTGCCTGTCTCTTCACAGTTTGTGTGAAGTGTGTCTCTTCACAGCTTCAATGGGCATGATGCCTCTGATAGTGCCAAAGCTCAGGTTCCATTGTGTTAAGCCCTGGCAGACTAATCTGGGTACCAGTCTTTTTAGCTAACATTCCACACCTTGCCACTCCTGTCATTTGCCGAAAACTTGTATAAAGATCTTTGGCAAATGACAGGAGTGGCAAGGAGTGGAATGTTAGCTAAAAAGACTGGTACCCATGCCTACCGGCAGAGAGGCTGCCTTAATATAGTCTAGTGTTTATAGAGGATAGAGGGCAAAGTAGAACTCCAGAGGGAAAACCTACACTTACTAGATCAATGGAGCAGTCGCCTCCATTCTGCTGAACCATTGAAAAGAAGCAACCATGTCCGATCAGGGGAGTGTGTTGGTGTTTGTGTTACAAGTCCGTGGAGAAGGGAGGGAGGCAGGAGTTCGTAGTTATATGACCCAAGTCAATGTTTGACATCACACTGCACAGCATGTGCTGAACAGAAAGTGGCCTTCTGTGTAGAATGAGGTGTCAAGATGTGAGGTAGGTAGCCTACCAAGAGTCTATGGTGCCTGAAGTGACAGCGCTTGATTGTGAAAATGTATATTTGTGTAAAAAGTTGTCATTTAAGAGACATGGGCTTCATCAAATTGAATAGTGAGGACATACTGGTTCAATCTAGAGTTACCTCTCAGTTTGAAGCCAGGAAATGAGGGACCTCATTTGAGACAGTTTTCCTTTGTTCTTTCTCTCTTTGACAAGCAATTCAATAACGAAACTGAAACATTTTATAACATAATTCAATCTTAAGCACTCCCCAACCTCATTCCTGTCCTCACTGTGAAACCAACCTCTCTCCACTCTCACTCTCTCACTCTAAAAATATTGACACATTTTCCATGCAAAAACAGCTCCCTGTAAAGAAATATCTTTGCAATACCAGCTTTTGTTCACCAAAGTATTTAAACAGAGCTCTGTTAAATAAAGGTCCCAGTGATGTGACTCCAATAGTAATGTTGTCACACAATGTTCAGGGGCCAGTCAATGTTGGCACCGGCCATAGCAACAAATTTGAATTAATTCAGAAGTAATTTAATGAGCCTAAACCTGACCATTAAAGTGCCACAAAGGGAAATGCAATTAGTCCCTATTCATCCCTGGGCTGGCAGCCTGGCACACTGGCACTTAAAACAAGAAGCCTTTTAAGAGTATTATTAACAGATGCTTAGTGTTGATGGGCTATTTAAATTCAGGAAATAAAGGAAACAAATTTCGAAAATGTGAAGGAACCCTTTCTGATTGCAATACTAATGGAAGTGTTCTTGTTAAATAACACATGTGGGGAGATGGATCAGTCTAGGCAATCTGTGCACCATGGACTATGAAGTTAAAAAAGTATAAACTAGTCTAGACCATGCATTTATGAACATAAGTGATTAAGGTTTTAAACATTAGTAAATAATGTGGAAAACTCTTGCGTAAATGTCGGTGCAGTTGATGAATATGTGGTAGCCTAGGGCTATTCATGAATATGATAACATTAAATCAATTCTAGACTATAATTGATAGGCCTATGATAAATTGTCAGATATGCACGTCAATAGTATGGTAGGTTATGAATAAATATTGCAATATGAGTGCGTTTGATTAGACCAGTTCCAGAGGAATATAGAATATTCGAACGGTACAAACACCTCCCACCTCCGCTCCAGGCCCTGCCTGCGCAATCCAGGAAGCCTGAATTCAGGATTGTAGACCCGTGAGAACTTTGCGTTGTGGCGCGAAATGACACAGTGATTGATAGTTGTCAATCACATTCACCGTCCGATACGGTTTATCAGTCCAAAAACACACACACAACGCACACTCGAGCTTCTTGTGACTGTAGCCCACCACTGCTCTGCTCTAGCAAAGTGGGCTCATCGTTGCCATAACAGCTGTGGACGAATGCAATTGCATTGTTATAGGCTACACTATTTAGGCGTGAGGACTCGTTTATATAAATTCGACAACATATTTATAATTTGCACCTAATGTTGTTGTAACATTGTTGCCACAGTTGATACAATGTTCACATGTTAGGATTTGCTATCTATGGGATAGGCTTGTGCAACTTTGTGCATCACCCTGTTTTTAGCGCCACTCCACGTCAATCATGTCGATCAATCAATCATTCAACCAATAACGATTTCTGTATTCCCCTTCCCCATCTTTCTCCAAGAAAATCGCCATATTGAGTTAACCGCACCGGGCTTGCTACAACGTTACCGCAGAAGAGCAAAAACACCCATTGCAAAAATTCATAAAACATGTCCTACCTTCGCAATAGCCTTTTTATACCTCATGGCGGCTTGTTCGATAAGACTGTGAACTTTAATATTTCCATTGCCACAAGGAACCACCACCCTGGTTCTCCCAAAACACACTGTCACTTTCATATTAGTTCCCGAATCCCGATGTGCCTCGGTTGAGGTGTATTCCTCACTACTTTGTAATGTTCAAATTATGAATTTCCTATTGTGTCAAAAAGATTGTATTCCAAACAAGCAGACAGCAATAATCTTCATCGTCTCCTCATACCGTCTAAACGTTAACGTTTTACCGACCACCTGTTCTCTAAAGTGTTCCTACTACGATCCTATTCCTTGGACGTGTAGCCTGCCTGCATCGGGGCAATCACACACAGCACAGTACTGGGAGGGTTGCGTGACTGGCGTCTCTCTCCCCGCGCTGGTGACCACGAGTACTGTGGTGACTCACCATGAACCGAAACTTCCCAAGTCTCTTTCAGAATTCCAACAGTTAGTAGTAGTTGGAGCCGTGTGTCATCGCTGGGCATTTTATTATGGACACGTCATGTAGGACTGTTCCTTACTGATTAGGTAGAAGCTGATGATTCTATTCTGAACAAAAACGCAACATGTAAAGTGTTGGTCCCATGTTTCATGAGCTGAAATAAAAGGTCCCAGAAATGTTCCATACTCACAAAAAGCTTATTTCTCAAAAATGTTGTGCACAAATTTGTTTACATCCATGTTAGTGAGCATTTCTCCTTTGCCAAGATAATCCATCCACCCGACAGGTATGGCATATCAAGAAGCTGATTAAACAGAATGATCATTACACAGGTGCACCTTGTGCTGGGTACAATAAAGTGCCACTCTAAAATTTGCAGTTTTGTCACACAACACAATGCCACAGATGTCTCAAGTTTTGAGGGAGTGTGCAATTGACATGCTGACTGCAGGAATGTCCACCAGAGCTGTTGCCAGAGAATTGAATGTTCATTTCTCTACCAAAAGCCACCTACAATGTCATTTTAGAGAATTTGGCAGTACTACCAACCGGCCTCACAACCGCAGACCACGTGTAACCACGCAAGCCGAGGACCTCCACCTGCAGGATTGTCTGAGACCAGCCACCCGGACAGCTGATGAAACTGAGGAGTATTTCTGTCTGTAATAAAGCCCTTTTGTGGGGAAAAACTCATTATGATTGGCTGAGCCTGGCTCCACAGTGGAAGGGCCTGGCTCCCAAGTGGGAGGGCCTATGCCCTCCCAGGCCCATCCATGCCCATTCATGTGAAATCCATAGATTAGGTCCTAATTCATTTATTTCAATTGACTGATTTCCTGATATGAACTGTAACTCACAAAAATCGTTGAAATTGTTGCATGTTTTTGTATTTTATTACATTCTAGCCTATTCTGTTATTTTCTACATTATTTTGTTATGTTCTACTCTATTCTATTTTCATTAATACATTTTTGGGAGAATGATCAGGTCCTTAAACAGTCTCTTAATGTGCAAAGAAAACATCACACCAGGCAAGACTGTTGAAGTTTTAAATGTTTTATTTTTTGCCCGGGTCAGCGCTTCAAAGTTTACTCTCACTTCATTATAATAATAAACCCATGTCAGTGACCTTTACAGCATAGACAATCTATTTTAGCGTACAAAATCCCTAAGGCTCTTTCTATGCTTGCCTAAAAAGGTGTTTAATGGCCTCAACTTGAACAGTTTCTCATGTTATGCACATTTTTGTAAGCACCTGTAAATATTCCTCCTCTCCAGCAGTAGGGCTATGCAATAGCATATATTGGGAATTGTGAATGACTTCTTGGCATCAGCCCACGGCTCCTAAGGAACACAGGCCATTGACGAATATCCTCCCTCTCACTCAGTTTAGGGCAAGTTTTTCCAGGACGCACCAGTTGGCCGCTCTCTGTCAGTTCTGCCTTCATGAATAGATTTGCACAATATAATCCAGCCAAGTACTCAGTTGTCTAAATTGCAGCGCTAATGGTCCTGATCAGCAGAAGACAACAGATGATGGACAGAGATTTGTGGAGAGGGACAGAGCACATCTGGATAGATGACCATGTTGCATACCTACACTAGAACTGTTTGTCATGTTATGCAGACTGTTTGTGACTGAGGACGGGCAGGTCAATAAATATGCCTCTCAACCAGTATGCAATAGCTGCATGCCTCATGGGAATCATGAATATAAATAGATTATATAATCCAGCCAAATTCAGTTGTCCAAATTAAAGTTCTAATGGCCCTGGTGAGCAGCGGATGACATATGTGAGAGAGAGATCTGTAGAGAGATGGACAGAGGGAGGCAGGAGAACATCTGGATAGATGGACCACGGACAGAGCACATCTGGACAGATGACCATGCTGCACGCTAGTGACTGGGAGCACATCCAAGTCAGCTGGACTGCAGTCCCACCTTCCAAATAAACCATCACATTAATTCAAATGGTAATACATATTTTATTCTGTAATACGTCCATTGTTAGATTAATCAGATTTGAGGCTAAGAAACAATCCTATATATCCACAATGGACTCCTCCAAATGGGTGGTATTTAAATAAACTTAATACTAAGTTATGGACGTTACATGCCATAGCTCTCTGTTAATCATGACAGCTTGTAAATCCTGTTTCATGTGGTCTTCCAGGTTGTCTTCACCCATGAGAGGGTCAGGGTACCCACAGTATGAGACTGCTGGCGCCCAGCTCAGGATGCCTGAAACAGACCAGAAAATCTCAGCCTCCTGACCATGGGGCTGTATGTATCAAGCATCTCACAGTAGGAGTGCTGATCTAGGATCAGTTTAGTCTTTTAAATGATAAAATGGGATTATATGGACAGGAGTTACCTAATCCTAGATCAGCACTCCTACTCAGACGCTCGATACATTGGCCGTAGATCTTCTCGCTGGTCCTGGGCAGAGCTCCGTACAGCTCCTGGTTGGTCAGGTGTTGTGACCAGTGGACCCTGGTTTTCTAGTCTTATGTATTAACAAAACAAGCAATCAACATCATTGAAATACAATAATACAGGATTGTAAATTACGTAACAATTTGTAACTCCATAAGTAATAATAATGCATCCCCTTGCACTCCCCCTGGAGGTAGGCTTTGGTAATAAAGAGACTATACATCCGGTTCATTTCTCGTCACACTGACCCATACACTCTCCTTTGAAATATTTACCAAAAGCCCTCATTCTTTTTATTTTTTTATTTGACAAGCAGCAGGATCATGTTTGTCACCTCAATTTGTTTTTTCTTTACATTTGAAAGTAAATACAATTATCAGTTTACCGGTTTTATTACAATATTTTTTTCTAACTTCGATACATTTAAGAAAAAACAACTGCAAACGTGAGAAAAGAAAGCATGGTTTTCCGCGTCTAGTCTCTAACATTTTCATCAATGTTACAGCTCACTCGCTCTTTTCCCATTCTTTTTTTGTTTTCGGTTAAGTCGACCAAAAATGTATTATCAGCTTTGCGCTCAGATCCCTACAGGCATTTTCCATTGACGCAATGGGTGCGTGGCACTGGTGATGTTGTAAACAGCATAAAATCAGAAGAGGGGGGATGGGGGCCAGAGGATGTCATGACTCGGTGGCTGTCTGGGTTGAATCGTTTTGTTTGTTTCCAAGATGGAGGCACACAGACCTGCTTCATCCCTCCCTCCGTATAGGAGCATGCGAGACAGCGACAGCCCAAAAATAAATGAAGAATGGTCTCTGTCGTTCTTTGCTTAACCAGCTGTTGGTTGGTTGGGGTAGGGGCCTTATACACCATTATTCCGCCATTACGCTACATAGCTATACTCGTCTGCAGAGCTCTGGCTCCTCTCGATGTACTGCTTGTCGATGAGCACCTCGATGCACTTCTTGATCATGCTGATACTGGGGTTAAATCGGGCTTTGGACTGGTTGATGACCTGAGGGGAGAAATAAACAGACACAGAGAAAGAAATTAACAGGCTGCATTAAATAATAATAATAATAATAATAATAATAATATGCCATTTAGCAGACGCTTTTATCCAAAGCGACTTACAGTCATGCGTGCATACATTTTTGTGTATGGGTGGTCCCGGGGATCGAACCAACTACCTTGGCGTTACAAGCGCCGTGCTCTACCAGCTGAGCTACAGAGGACCACAATGTAGTGAACATTCCCTCTGGAATCCATTTTGTTGTTTTTGCAGCATGCCGTTTATTTCTCCAGCTGGATATCAACAAAAACAATAAACCTCAACTGCCTTTCCTTGCGATAGTACAGCTGTGCCCAATGGAATTGTGTCTGTAAAGCCATAGAGTGAGGTTTACTGGATGTGTAAAAAAATCCAGTCTCGACTGAAAGGCCACTCCGATACACTCGTCTTTCATTCAATTTGCTACAGAATCTCCATTGGAGTGGTGCTCAGTTATCTATCTCCATCTGGATTTATGTCATGCAGGCAGTGATAATAGATCAACAACAACACATGCAGGAGTTGGAGACCACATCACAGCTTGGCCCCCAGGCAACCATCGTCTCAGGTATGTCCAATCTCTCCATGGTTGGAGAGGTGTCCCGAGCATGGAACAGTACATGATTGCGCAAACGAAGGAGGGAAAGGTATGTGGTGGGAAAGGTAAGCCACTAAATCAGTCACGCAAGCCCTCATTATGTGCTTCGACTGAAATAAAAAATATTGAACCATTAAAGTACAAACGGTAAAAAAAAACAGTGGTTGGAGAGAGAGAGAGAGAGAGAGAGAGACAGAGACCGAGAAAGAGACAGAGAGAGAGAGACAGAGACAGAGAAAGGTGCTCTCTCTCCAGCCCGCATGCATGTTCTAACATCCTTAAGGGGAGACACTCATTCCATCCTGACATATCCCTCTGTTCTGTGTTCTCGACTCACAGATGGCATACAGCATCTCACCATCAGGGAAGGAATTCACCCTCCTGACAAAGTAGAACATCAACACAGGAGGAAGAGCCATAGGTTAGAGACCCACACCAGGGAGGACACCGTACTCCCTCTGGCAGGGGAAAGACAGACCTTTGCCCTCAGGGAAACCCTTGGATCTCTCCATTCCCATGTCTTAACCTGTATCTCCCCTGCCTGTTCCCAGATCTGCTGGTGCTGTGTAGACAACTCCTATGGTCATTGACAAGACAGCGCAAACAGATCTGGGACCAGGCTAGTATTTACATTTTTGTCATTTAGCAGACGCTCTTCTCCAGAGCCACTTACAGTTAGTGAGTGCATACAGTTTCATACTGGCATCTCAGTACCAGGTGTCTCTGTACAGTGCATGTACAGTAACTTGTGTGTGTAGATCCCCTGTACATGGTTGGACGTGGGTGATATTAAACTCACCTCCTGTATGAGGGCGTTGTGTCTGAGCACTTTGCGTGCCTTCATGATTCTCACTATAGCAGCTTGTAAATACATTTTGCGGTCCTCGTCCACTGCACTCCTTGTCTGCTCCATCTCCTGCAGGGTTGGAAACACAGAAATAGGGCTTTACACAGAGGCAGATATATTGACACTTTCAGACAACAGCAGAGGTGTTTGCAGGGCGGGATGGCTCCAGAGCTCTCAAGGTTATAGGGTACTGTACCTGTGGTGTGTCTTTCTGCATTGATGTTGTGATCTTGAACTTTGTTCTTTTACTGGTGAAACTCATATTTAGTGAAAATGTGGACTCTGCCTCGATTTCCTCCTGAAGATGAGAAAAGAGTTACCCGCTGACTGATGAGAGTATCCAAAAGGACTGAGGAATAACACAAATGCCAAGATGAGCTACTTTTAAATCCTCCTAACCAATAAAGAAGACCCTGCTGACTCCAGATCTCCGGGTAACTCAGTGGCTGCTGACACCTGACCCCTGACCTTTTGGGAGTCGTGGTTGAGCATCTTGACATCCAGCAGGGACTTGATGGTCTTCTGAAGCTCTTTCTCATTCATCTGGGTGGAGTCCTGGAGCTCCTTGTAGCCTACCTGTTAGGATACGATAGTGAGCTAAGTGAGTGCTTAAGGAGCTAGTTTAGTGCTTAGTTAAGGCACAGTTAAGATAGTCCATTTCCACTAAACACTTTGGTTTGGTAACACACCGTCTCGCTGTTGTTGAACGCCAGCAGCACTGCCATCTGGTATGTGGTCACCATGGCAACGTAGGGCTTGGAGAGATAGTTCATCTTCACCTCGCCTGAAGAAGAGGAGAGCCAATCATTAGCATCACCAATGCTGTATATCAATACCACTATCTTATTCACCACACCACCTATTGATAACAGCTTGTAAGAAAAACCAAGGAGAAATCGGCCAAAAGCAATCCCCAATCCTGTGTTCTCTGGGTATTCTTGTAACCGCACACAGGGATTTAGTTCCAATCCGGTAATTGCAGTGTTTGTGTGGAGAATTTATGCTGTTGTAATGTTTGAAGGAGTCATCACAGTCTTAGCGCTGTGTGATTTCATGGATTATGTAGTAGTAGTGCCAGGTGCAGCTCAGTGTTAGTGTTGGGTAGAATCAGAACCTCTCCAACATGGACATGTAGTAGTGTCACACTGATTTGGGATAAAACACCCTGCAGTACATACAGACACAATCCATTTCAGACTATGGAAGTCTCATCCTGTTACTCCTGTTGAGCTATGGATGTGATTTCAGTTTCAGTGAAACATAAGGTAGGGGAGAGTGAGGTAAGTTGAGCCATTTTTTTTATATTCAGCATCACTCCGTCAAGGGAAATATATTATTCTTTCTAACAAAGATATCTAAATATGTTTCAGGATGTTGTGTATCCCTGGAAATAATCAGAATTCATGTAAACATTACAGTTTTGAAAACAGCTTGTCCAAAAACAGTGGTCTCTTGGCACAACTTACACGTGTATGGCCCCGTATAGCTCAGTTGGTAGAGCATGGCGTTTGCAACATTTTACATTTTAGTCATTTAGCAGACGCTCTTATCCAGAGCGACTTACAGTTAGTGCATACATCATTTTTTTTTTCATACCCCCTGTGGGAATCGAACCCACAACCCTGGCGTTGCAAACGCCATGCTCTATCAACTGAGCTACATCCCTGCCGGCCATTCCCTCCCCTACCCTGGATGACGCTGGGCCAATTGCGCGCCGCCCCATGGGTCTCCCGGTCACGGCCGGCTACGACAGAGCCTGGATTTGAACCAGGATCTCTAGTGGCACAGCTAGCACTGCGATGCAGTGCCTTAGACCACTGTGCCACTCGGGAGACTGTGGGTTCGATTCCCACAGAGGGCCAGTATAAAAAAAAAATATGTATGCACTCACTAACTGTGAGTCGCTCTGGATAAGAGCGTCTGCTAAATGACTAAAATGTAAAAATGTTAAATGTAAGTTGAGCTGCGGGACAGGGTAAATTAAGCCGCCTACAAATGTCTGTACTGAATGAAATATATTATATTTCCCAAACACATCTTTTAGCACAGGTTTAACCCCTAACAAACACTTCTTTTTTTTTTTTTTACACGGTTACCTCATATCCCAGCGACAACGTGCCATTACACCTGGGAAGAAAACACTTCAATTTGCTCAACTTGCCATTGGATCAATTTACCCCAAGGCAAACATTTTGACTATATTAGCCCACACAGCTACAAGGATGCACGTTCATGCTAGGTTTAGGACCTCATATTGAAGCTTATAGAGACCCCAACTGATGTATAGAACAATCTTAAAACGATCTACCTAGATTCAAGCATCTTGAAACCTCTAACACAAATTAATTTGACTGTATTTTGGACCTAACTTGCTTACCACTTTTTCCCTGTGGTTTCTTCCTTCACAGACTCCATGAAATGTTGACCTTCCTAAATATTTGGTAAAATGATTACATTTTGTGTATGGTTTCCTAGTAACAACTCTCCCCTTTGGCTCAACTTACCCCAGTCTTCCCTACTGCTGCCTACTAAAAATGTCACATCTTTTTCACTGGGTTTCTACTATCTGCTGTGTGTGTGTGTGTGTGTGTGTGTGTGTGTGTGTGTGTGTGTGTGTACCTGTGCAGAGATAGTGCAGCCAGGTCAACTTCCTCCCGCTGAAGTGCTGATTATAGAACAACTCAAACTGTAGAGAAAACCAATCATGATAGAATTACATAATTTAACATCTGCAGTTTTGTTGAACAGCCATGTTTAATCTTGGAGCAACCACAGAAAGATACTGTCATCTCTCTATGGGCACAACCTCTCCAAACAACCACGTCTCCTGAACCACTACTCACCATCTGAACACTCTTCTCCAGCTCTTGTGGGATGGCAAAGGTAGAGGAGGGGACGTGTGTCAGGGGCCAGGCTCCTGCCTGCAACGAGACAACACACAGTAAGATATCTCCACCACCATTGCCATTGAGCTTCTCACAGCAAACGTGCGTGAAGTTGCCTAATCTTTAAAAAACACAGATAATTAACCTATTACCCTATTTCACTGTACTGTCACAACAACCAATTTATTGGAAAAACACCACATTGGATACTTCTTTCCTAGCAGGGAGTTTGGTTCTACCATTGCTCATGGCTATGATGTTGTCATTCGTCCACTCTCTGTCCTCTGTTATATGTGTAACCTCAAGTATGCCAAGCATATCTCCACCAACCACTGCAGAAGTTCTCTCTCAGGAAAAATAAAGTTATTATATTCTTTGATGTGACAGTAACAACTAGTGATGGGGGGGGGGGGGGGGTTGATACATTTTAAAACACCTGCATTTTTCATCATATAGCTTGTTCTCCATCTTTTTAAATAGTGAGCCAACATGTTTTCAGCACTTTTATTTCCATGACTGATCAAAACTAATTTTCTCATGCTCTCTTGTCCATCTGCAGCAGACATATGGTGAGCAATACGTTTGGAACATCAAATCGCAGTACCGAATCGCAAAACATATAGAATCGTGATAATCACAACACATATCCTGTCAGCACCTACTGTAAGTATGGTGATAATATCTTATCGTGAGGTCCCTGGCAATTCTCAGCCCTAGTGACAACCACCGCTCACCTGTAATACGTAGATCTGGAAGCTGATTCCCAGTTCGACTGGTGATTCCTGGGTCTTGATGAAGTTGTTGAATTTGTTGTTCAGGTCTGCGCTGACGCTCATGTCTGTGTACATTCTGTGGAGCTTGCTTGTGAACTCGTAGCCGCACGCTTGCTGCAGGGGGGAGAGAGAGAGTTCACAGGGTGACACAGGGGACAGGGAGAAGTGTGGGGGCCTTTCCTCTTTTGTTCTCTATTGTTCCTCTATTGTTCCTCAAGCAAGGGGAGGCCGATGACATCACGGATTCCCATCAGACCAATTAATTGAACGCCCTACTTCTTGTTTGCAGTTTTGTCAAAAAAAAACACTATTTTTACCATTTAGTGTGTGTACTTTACACTTGAGATATCGCTTTTCAACAGTAAAAGTAAAAAAAAATCTATTTTTACATCAACAAATAACCTTCAATTCATTACATTTTAATCTCTTATTAAAATGAAAATAAACCAAAAAATAAATGTACTCAATAACATTTTATTTTTCAAATAATCTTTCTAAAAAAACGTTTGTATATTGTTCCATTCAATAAAAAGAAAAACGTTTTAAATAATTTTTTTCACTGCAGTCCCCTGCGATTGGACTAGAGGTCGCAACATTGACTTTGAATACCACCGCTTTAACGGGTTGGTTTGAGAGTTATGTGTAATAGTATTTTAAAAGGGAAAAACTGACAGTTTAAAGAGTGTTGCTTAATTATGGCATGAATTATAGGAATTCCGTTAGCGTCTTGTCCAGGGAGTGTACTTGTACGCCAAGGTTCTTCACGCTACAGAAACAGGAGATTAGCCCACACGTCAAGAGCCTTTCTGGCTTGGAAAAGGCATAAAAGACCTTGAACGGCACCTGATAGAGTTGAAAGGAGCCTTATTTCACCTTTAGTTTGTTGATCATGGCTTCTTCTGAGTCCATGGACAAGGACAGCCCGTGTATTAACCTCTTTGCTAACATTCTTGCATAAAACTGTGCGAAAGAAAGATGAGAGGGGGAGAGAGAGAAAAAGAAACATAATTAAGAAGAAAACAAGACTTCAATTCATTATCTCAGCCTCCAATGTTTCTTCCAGTTAATGCTTTTTAGCGAATATCAAATTCGTCAATATCCCTGGTCATTTGAGATAATGACGCTAATGCAGGTCTGTCTGTCAGCTACCTTTTGAAAAACGTCCTTGTCATCTATGTACTTGAACACGGTGATGAAGCTGGTCAGCTTGTCTTCCACCTCGTTCTCTGTCATTCCCTTTGCAGACTTCTTCAGCAGATTGTCACAATACTTGGCGAGCTACATGGGTAAAGGGCAAAACAACACAGTCAGTCATCACTATGGCCTACAAAACAAATGTTATTTTTTTAAACGTACAGTAGTAGAGATCTAGACCCAGGGTTTTTGCTTTGTCTATTACCAGGGTCTTATCTTATAACCCCACAACACTTCCAAACCTCAGGTGTCATGAATGAGTCTCGCACTCACCAGTTCAGGTGCTTTGCAGATGGATTTGGGCTCCCTGTGGTTAACCACTGAAGTCAAAGCCTGGGGAGGATCAAACAAGGCAGTCATTTTACATAAGCAGTTTCAATACATCTACAGCCAAGACATCAACTTATACCAAGCATGAACAGTTATGATTTAACTTATGAGCCTTAATATATAAAATATGGATTATTTCCCGCAGGGAGTGAGGAACAATCTGTTAGTGAAGAGAAACACCTCTCACTGGCGCCACCTACTGGTATTAACTGTATAGCGTTCACATTCTGATTTTGCATGTAAGCCTGCCAGGGATTCATAATGTTAATACCTTATCAAGCGCGCTCATGAAGTGCTGATCCCCATTCAGCACTGTGTTAATGAGCTGAACGAATTTACTGTGAACCTCCAACACGGACTCCACAAACAGGGTTGGCATCTGGGGAGGGAACCAAACAAAACAACAGGAGGTTTAGCAGTGGCCTGTTATATTATGTTTGAGATATAATCTGATACAGGTAACTGCCAAAATAAAGGAAACACTAAATGAGGGATACAAAGTTTATTGAAAGCAGGTCCTTGGTTTCCACTAGATAGCACAGCCACAAAGTCAAAATTGGCTATATCAAACATTTATGAAAGAAAAATTCGCTTTTTGGTCTTAAATTTACAGTTAGGGTTAGGTTAGGGTTCAAATCCAATTTTAAGAAGAGAAATTGTAGAAATATGGTAACACAGGTGTGGCAGTTAACATCCCATCATGCTTAGGGTCATGTATAAAAATGCCAAGTTGCCCATTATTTTGACTACCATGGCTAGAAGAAATCAGAGACTTTGAAAGAGGGGTCTTAAAAGGAGCATAGGGTGTTTAAAGGGTTGTGTGTGTGTGTGTGTGTGTGTTAGCTGTGAGTTATTGATAATCTGATGATGCATATTGATAATGTATAGCTAGTGTTTTAAGCCCCCCAAACAACCCATGTACAGTTGAAGTCGGAAGTTTACATACACCTTAGCCAAATAGATTTAAACTCAGTTTTTCACAATTCCTGACATTTAATCCTAGTAAAGATTCCCTGTCTTAGGTCAGTTAGGATCACCACTTTATTTTAAGAATGTGAAATGTCAGAATAATAGTAGAGAGAATGATTTATTTCAGCTTTTATTTCTTTCATCACATTCTCAGTGGGTCAGAAGTTTACATACACTCATATAGTATTTGGTAGCATTGCCTTTAAATTGTTTGACTTGGGTCAAACGTTTCAGGTAGCCTTCCACAAGCTTCCCACAATAAATTGGGTGAATTTTAGCCCGTTGACAGATCTGGTGTAACTGAGTCAAGTTTGTAGGCCTCCTTGCTCGCACACGCTTTTTCAGTTCTGCCCACAGATTTTTTACAGGATTGAGGTCAGGGCTTTGTGATGGCCACTCCAATACCTTGACTTTGTTGTCCTAAAGCCATTTTGCCACAACTTTGGAAGTATGCTTGGGGTCGTTGTCCATTTGGAAGACCCATTTGCGACCAAGCTTTAACTTCCTGACTGATGTCTTGAGATGTTGCTTCAATATATCCACATAATTTTGATGCCACCTTATGATGCCATCTATTTTGTGAAGTGCACCAGTCACTCCTGCAGCAAAGCACCCCCACAGCATGATGCTGCCACCCCTGTGCTTCACGGTTGGGATGGTGTTCTTCGGCTTGCAAGGCACCCCCTTTTTCCTCCAAACATAACGATGGTCATTATGGCCAAACAGTTCTATTTTTGTTTCATCAGACCAGAGGACATTTCTCCAAAAAGTACAATCTTTGTCCCCATGTGCAGTTGCAAACCGTAGTCTGGCTTTTTAATGGCGGTTTTGGAGCAGTGGCTTCTTCCTTGCTGAGCGGCCTTTCAGGTTATGTCGATATAGGACTCGTTTTACTGTGGATATAGATACTTTTGTACCTGTTTCCTCCAGAATCTTCACAAGGTCCTTTGCTGTTGTTCTGGGATTGATTTGCACTTTTCGCACCAAAGTACGTTCATCTCTAGGAGACAGAACGCGTCTCCTTCCTGAGCAGAATGACGGCTGCGTGGTCCCATGGTGTTTATACTTGAGTACTATTGTTTGTACAGATGAATGTGGTACCTTCAGGCGTTTGGAAATTGCTCCCAAGGATGAACCAGACTTCTGAGGTCTTGGCTGATTTCTTTTGATTGTCCCATGATGTCAAGCACAGAGGCACTGAGTTTGAAGGTAGGCCTTGAAATACATCCACAGGTACACCTCCAATTGACTCAAATGATGTCAATTAGCCTATCAGAAGATTCTAAAGCAATGTTTAAAGGCACAATCAACTTAGTGTATGTAAACTTCTGACCCACTGGATTTGTGATACAGTGAATTATAAGTGAAATAATATGTCTGTAAACAATTGTTGTAAAAATTACTTGTGTCATGCACAAAGTAGAAGTCCTAACCGACTTGCCAAAACTATAGTCTGTTAACAAGACATTTGTGGAGTGGTTGAAAAACTAGTTTTAATGACTCCAACTTAAGTGTATGTAAACTTCTGACTTCAACTGTATGACTGACTGAGAAGGGTTACTGGTGACTTATTCTTGTCATATCATGTTTATGATAATGATATTCTGACTCAAATATCTGAGTCAGAAAAGGATATTCATATGATAGGTAAGATATAAAAAACCTTGCAGAGAAACTGACGATCTCTTAGAAGTTATGGATGGAGTTTGAAAGTTGGCTGTCAGAAGTATTACAATGTAATACGTCTGTCTGCGTATTATAAGACATGGCAAATGAGGGTACAGTGAGATACCGATGGGTTAGACTATACTTTTCTTGTCAATCATCTTGAAAAAATGTATACTTAAAGACTGGAAATCAACCAATCCTCCATAGTTAACACAATGGAAAGGTCAAATGCTTTAATATCTAAAAATGTTGAAAGTGCGTGGGCGACGGAAAGAAACTAAATGGTGCAGTTTGAGGCCATGAGGAGGAGAGTGATGCGGGCGCTGGAGATGGAGTGTGAGTAGGTGGGTCTGGGCAGGTGTGATGTAGTTGACGTTTGTGTATGTTTTGTTATCATGCATACTGATAATGTAAAGTGATAACATGGGGAAGTGGAGATGTGACGTACGTTTTCCTGAGAGAGGTTACTGGTGGCTCGGATGCCCTCATCGTGGACATGGATCTGGAGCTCCTGGATCATGTGAGGTAAGCCACTGGACACGGCTCGCAGCAGGGTGTACATGTTAGCCATGTCTGTAGGGGGGAAAGAGAGAGAGAGAGTGTTATGGAGATCACAGTCACAGCTGGATGTTCTCCGTTCGGTTTGAAATCTGATAGCAAATAGCTATGGTAATGGCCAGAAACATATGGGAGTCAGTCAATGTCAAGGAACCATATGGGATTTAGCCAGCCAGGTCAAATAGAGCCTGCTCAATCGCCAATGATAGGATGACCTGTGCTTAATTAACACTGGCTTTAAGCCAGCCCTTGGATCTATAGGCTAGTAGCTACCGACTGACCATCTAACTACAGATTGCCCATCTACACTGAACTAAATTATAAACGCAACATGTAAAGTGTTGGTCCCATGTTTCATGAGCTGAAATAAAATATCCCAGAGATTTTCCATACGAACAAAAAGCTTATTTCTCTCAAATGTTGTGCACACATTTGTTTACATCCCTGTTAGTGAGCATTTCTCCTTTGCCAAGATAATCCATCCACCTGACAGGTGTGGCATATAAAGAAGCTGATTAAACAGCATGATCATTACACAGGTGCACCTTGTGCTGGGGTCAATAAAAGGCCACTATAAAATATGCAGTTTTGTCACAAAACACAATGCCACAGATGTCTCAAGTTGAGGGAGTGTGCAATTGGCATGCTGACTGCAGGAATGTCCAATAGAGCGGTTGGCAGATAATTTTATGTTATCTTTTCTACCATAAGCCGCCTCCAACATTGTTTTACGCCTTGATCACACTGATAGTGTTTTGCGCAAAATAGTATGCAGCATCATCTGGATATGTGTGCAACATTCACCTACTATTTCTGTCAAGTCGTCTACGCATACAGTTTGACGCATACGTTTGATAAATCCAACATATGCACCATACAGAACGCACTGCAACTGCCTCTGCAACGCTGCAAGGCAAATGCAGCGTTCCTTTGGAAATGAATATACTTCTGGTGTACCAAAATGAAATGACACTGTCAGTGTGATCGAGGCGTTAAAGAGATTTTGGCAGTACGTCCAACCGGCCTCACAACCACAGACAATGTGTAACCACGCCAGCCCAGGACCTCCACATCCGGCTTCTTCACCTGCGGGATCGTCTGAGACCAGCCACCCGGACAGCTGATGGAACTATGGGTTTGCACAACCGAAGAAATTCTGCAAACTGTCAGAAACCGTCTCAGGGATGCTTGTCGTCCTCACCAGGGGCTTGACCTGACTGCAGTTCAGCGTCGTAACTGACTTCAGTGGGCAAATGCTCACCTTTGATGGCCACTGGCACGCTGGAGATGTGTGCTCTTCACAGATGAATGAAGATGGTGTCGTTTGGCGAGCGGTTTGCTGATGTCAACATTGTGAACAGAGTGCCCCCTGGTGGCGGTGGGGTTAAGGTATGGGCAGGCATAAGCTACAGACTACGAACACAATTACATTTTATCGATGGCAATTTGAATGCACAGAAATACCGTGACGAGATCCTGAGGCCCATTGTCGTGCCATTCATCCGCCGCCATCACCTCATGTTTCAGCATGATAATGCAAGGATCTGTGCACAATTCCTGGAGGCTTCCATGGCCTGCATACTCACCAGACATGTCACCCATTGAGCATGCTTGTGACGCTCTGGATCGACATGTACAACAGGATGTTCCAGTTCCCGCCAATATCCAGCAACTTCGCACAGCCATTGAAGAGGAGTAGGACAACATTCCACTGGCCACAATCAACAGCCTGATCAACTCTAAGCGAAGGAGATGGCAAATGGTGGTTACACCAGATACTGACTGGTTTTCTGATCGACGCCCCTACCTTTTTTTAAAGATATGTGAACAACAGATGCATTTCTGTATTCCCAGGGATGTAAAATCCATGGATTAGGGCCTAATGCATTTCAATTTACTGATTTTCTTATATGAAACTGTTGCATTTATATTTTTGTTCAGTGTAACTGCAGACTGACCATCTAACTTTTTGTAAATGTTATTTCACCTTTATTTAACCAGGTAGGCCAGTTGAGAACAAGTTCTCATTTACAACTGCGACCTGGCCAAGATAAAGCAAAGCAGTGAGAAAAACAACAACACAGAGTTACACATGGGATAAACAAAAACATACAGTCAATAACACAATAGAAAATCTATATACAGTGTCTGCAAATGTAGTAAGTTATGGAGGTAAGGCGATAAATAGGCCATAGTTCAAAATAATTACAATTTAGTATTAACACTGGAGTGATAGATGTGCAGAAGATGATGTGCAAATAGAGATACTGGGGTGCAAATGAGCAAAATAAATAACAATATGGGGATGAGGTAGTTGGGTGGGATAATTTCAGAATGGCTGTGTACAGGTGCAGTGATCGGTAAGCTGCTCTGACAACTGATGCTTAAAGTTAGTGAGGGAGATAAGAGTCTCCAGCTTCAGAGATTTTTGCAGTTCGTTCCAGTCATTTGCAGCAGAGAACTGGAAGGAATGGCAGCCAAAGGAGGTGTTGGCTTTGGGGATGACCAGTGAGATATACCTGCTGGAGCGCATACTACGGGTGGGTGTTGCTATGGTGACCAATGAGCTAAGGATAAGGCAGGGATTTGCCTAGCAGTGATTTATAGATGACCTGGAGCCAGTGGATTTGGCGACGAATATGTAGTGAGGGCCACCTCCTTTGGCCGCCATTCCTTCCAGTTCTCTGCTGCAAATGACTGGAACGAACTGCAAAAATCTCTGAAGCTGGAGACTTATCTCCCTCACTAACTTTAAGCATCAGTTGTCAGAGCAGCTTACCGATCACTGCACCCGTACACAGCCATTCTGAAATTAGCCCACCCAACTACCTCATCCCCATATTGTTATTTATTTTGCTAATTTATTATTTTGTTTACCCCATATGTAACTCTGTGTTGTTTTTAATCGCACTGCTTTACTTTATCTTGGCCAGGTCGCAGTTGTAAATGAGAACTTGTTTTCAACCGGCTTACCTGGTTAAATAAAGGTTAAAAAAAATATATATATACGGAGCTCAATATATTATGGGCACATGACCATTCTTTATTTTTGGTTCTTAATCTAGTTCACTTGAGTTTGAAGGATAAATGACAAAGGTGAAGTGAGACTGTCAGACTTTAATTTGAGGGTTTCACAGATCGGTTGAACACGAATTAAGCTTTGTCATGTCCCCCCATTTTCGCGCATCAAAACTCATTGGACGTTTAATGACATAAAGTCATGGCAGTAATATTTGTAACTTGATGCAAGGATGTTGACAGTCTGCGATGGCATCCTCACCAGACGGGGGTAACCTGTTGCTTACATGCAGATCTCAGTTCCTGTTGTCGGGGACTTATTGATAAGTCTCCTCGCTAGCAGGTAAAAGCGTTAATTGGATTCAGATCTGGTGATTGACTCGGCCAGTCAAGGTTTTTCCACTTTTTGGCCATCAAAAACCCCTTTGTTGCTCTAGCAGTATGTTTAGGGTCATTGTCTTGTTGCGTGATTAAGTGCCGTCCAATGAGTTTGGAGTCATTTGGTTTTATCTGAGCAGATAAAATATTTCTGTAGACTTCAGAATTCATTGTTCTACTTCTGTCTGCAGTCACATCATCGATGAAGACAAGTGAGCCTGTTCCACTGGCAGCCATACAGGCCCAAGCCATAACACCCCCTCCACCATGTTTCATGGATGAGGTGGTATGCTTTGGATCATGGGCATTTCTTTTTTTTTCTCCACTCTTTTGTCTTTCCATCACTCTGGTACATGTTAATCTTTGTCTCATCTGTCCACAATATTTTTTTCCAGAACTCTTGGGGTTCTTTTAGGTGCTTTTTAGCAAACTGTAATCTTGCCTTTCTGTTCTTCAGGCTTATCAGTGGTTTGCATCTTGTAGTGTACCCTCTTTAGTCCTGCTGGTGTAGTCTTCTGCGTATGGTAGACTTTGACACATCTACACCTGCATCCAGGAGAGTGTTTTTGATCTGTTGGGCTGTTATCAGGGGTTTTTTCTTCACCATAGAGAGTATTCTCCGGTCATCCACTACAGTGGTCTTCCTCTGTCTACCGGGTCTTTTGACATAATTGAGTTCACCGGTTGTTTTTTTCTTGTTAATGATGAACAAAACTGTTGACTTGGGCATGGCCAGGGTTTTTGCAATGTTCCTGAATGATTGATTTTCATTTCTGAGCCTTATGACGGCCAACTTCATTTGCATCGACACTGCTGTCTTCCTCATGTTGTCACACCCCAATAACAACCTCCAAAGGCAATAGCAACGTCTAGAATCATTACTATTCATCAACAGCTCTCCTGCATTCACTAACGACACAAATGAATACACCTGCCTAACGACACACATCTGTGAAGCCAATTTAACAAATACTTGTAGTACCTTAAAATGGGGGGACCATGTACAAAAGGTGCTGTCATTTCTAAACGGTTCATCCGATATGTACGAAAATACCCTCAAATTAAAGCTGACAGTCTGCACTTCACGCTCATTGTCATTGATTCCTTTCAAACTCAAAGTGCTAGAGTACAGAACCAAAATAACAAAACAATGGTCACTGTCCAATGAATTATGGAGCTCACTGTATATATATATATATATATATATATATATATATATATATATATATATATATATATATATATATATATATATATATATATATATATATATTTTTTTTTTTTTTTTCTTTAAGTCATTTAGCAGACGCTCTTATCCAGAGCGACTTACAGGAGCAATTAGGGTTAAGTGCCTTGCTTAAGGGCACATCGACAGATTTTTCACCTAGTCGGCTCGGGGATTAGAACCAGCGACCTTTCGGTTACTGGCACAACGCTCTTACCCACTAAGCTACCTGCCGCCCCATATATATATATATAAGTTCCTGACTTCCCTGAAAGTGCATATCGCGGACGTGTTCGTGCTAATGCAGACGCAAAGATGATTTTGCATGCCCTCAAGTTGGGGTGATCCAGCGGCATACTGTTTTACTGAATTTTGTTAAGTGCATGCACTTTAATTACCCACATTACTATTACCTCACTACCTCATAGCCGGTGCCCCCGCACATGACTAGCAACGGTACCCCCCTGTATATAAGCCTCCCTACTGTCACTTTATTCTACGTATTATAGCTCCCTACTGTCCTTATTTTACTTCTTCTCTTTTTATCCACACTTTTTTTTTTGTTGTTTATTCTTACTTTTTGTTAAATAAGGCCACTGTTGTTAGGCTGTAGTAAGCTTTCACTGTAAGTTGCACTGTTGTATCGGCGCTGTGACCATAAAATTTGATTGATTGATTTGAGTTGATCGCTGAGATCCTGGTTGAAGACAGCGGAGGTGTATTTAGAGGGTAAATTAGTCAGGATGATATCTATGAGGGTGCCCATGTTTATGGATTTAGGGTTGTACCTGGTAGGTTCCTTGATAATTTGTGTGAGATTGAGGGCATCTAGTTTAGATTGTAGGACGGCCGGGGTGTTAAGCATATCCCAGTTTAGGTCACCAAGCAGTACGAACTCTGAGGATAGATGGGGGGGCAATCAATTCACATATGGTGTCCAGGGCACAGCTGGGGGCTGAGTGATAGACTTATTTCTGGTGGATTTTTAGAAGTAGAAGCTCAAACTGTTTGGGCACAGACCTGGATAGTATGATAGAGCTCTGCAGGCTCTCTCTACAGTAGATTGCAACCCCGCCCCCTTTGGCAGTTCTATCTAGACGGAATATTTTGTAGTTGGGGATGGAAATTAACTTTCAGACTGACCATCTAACTTACAGACTGACCATTTAAATACAGACTGACCAGCTAAGTACAGTAATAGACTGTCTAAGCCAGCCCCTGGATCTATTAGTATCAAACAAACTGACCGTCACTCCTGTAACCAGACTGACCGTCTCTCTTCTCCTTGCGGATGATGTTCTGACACTCCCCATGGAGGAACTGCAGGTGGTCCGCCACCATCCTCTGCTGGCATTCGTGGATGACTTTGGCGTAGGAGCTGGGGTGCAGGTACTTTCGACATCGCACCTCCTCGTCTTTCAACCGTCCTAAAACCTAGGTGGAGTCAGGGAGGGAAGGGAACACATTGGATCGATTAATTTGTTTAATACAGTTAATTATGCGCATGTCAAAGACGCTACTCGCTAACTGTCCCAGGCCCAATAGGGCTGAATGACTGCCAAAAAACATTAATGGAACGTATAATTAAACAGAATTTCCAAATGTGGGTCTGCTGTAGACCCATGCAGTTCCTCTGCGAGGTCAGTTCCTCTCTGCTTACCTCATGTCAAAATAAAAGTCCCCCACAAGTTCCTGCTTTTTTTGGTGCAGGTATGGCACACATGCAGAACTTTTACTTTGACATGGGGTAAGTGGAGAGGAATTGGGTCTACAACAGACGCATGTTTGGAAAATCTTTCATTTATGTTCTATTAGATGTTTTATTTTAATCAATTTCCCCCCTGTATTAGGACCAACCCTACGGACAATCAGCAGAGTAAGTTTAAATTAAATGTTATTTAACTTTGGCTTCCGGCAGACTATTACGTTTATTTGTAAGCCAATTCCTAGCAACGCTAGTGTGCAAATACTAGCGTTGCTAAAAGCAGCTAAAGCAACACTAATGCCGCCAGGCTTTTCTAAAACGTTTTGATCGCGTTAGGCTGGTCTAGACATATGAACCGCAGGCCAGGGCAGCGAGCGAGGCATATCACATATCCCATTTATAGGGATTTCAGTCACGCTCAGCACAACAACAGATGGACAGACACTCATACACACTGCCGACTGCCCCATTGCCTTTTAAAGCCAGAGTGGTGTTTATCCTGGTTAAAGGGCTATCAGATCAATCTGATCATTGGCACTGATTTACAGGTCCACTCGTGAACAGAGGCAGAGTCCCAAATGGCACCCTAATCCCTATATAGTGCATGACTTTTGCCCAGAGCCCATAAGTAGTGGACTACAGTTTATAGTGAATAGGGTGCCATTTCAGACACACTAGGCGGCAGCCATGATGTGAGCTAGCTAGCTAACGTAAGACACTGTCTGTTATCTCTTTGCACTAGAGTCAGTCAGTCACACAGTAATACACAGATTCAACTCTGACGGTGCTACAGCTGGTTGCTCCATGGGTCTCCTCAGACTCACAGCAGAGCAATGACTGTGTACAGCTGCTCCAAGAGTTACCGAGCCTCTGATAAACTAACACCAAGAACACAATAAACACACAGCAAAATACACAATATCCATTTGAGCAATGGCAAGTCACACTATTTAACTGAATTCATATTTTATAATACCCGAACATCAACGGTTTTCCTACATGCTTCCAATGAGACAACAGTATTTCTTAGGGTCACAATAGAGTGCAGTAGAGCCCTTGGATTCTATGTACAAAGAATAAAACAGAGAGCAGCAGGTAACAAGGAAGTGAACTACACTACCTGTCCGGCAGACATCTTACCTTTTCCATTAAGCTAATGTGAGCAGTTAGACCAGAGATGCTATAATTCATATAGCTATGGATCTCTATTAGTTGGACTTCCTACAGCCATCTTACCTTTTCCATATACTGTGAGCAGTTTGACTCTTGCAGTAAATTGGAGGCTTCCTGTTTGTAATACTCTCCAGTTTTCGTCAGAAATGGCCCTTCGAAGATTTCCTGATAAAACTGAAACACAAGAAAAGAATGTGAGCCACGAGTGAGTTCAGAGGACACACACATCGGCATGGACATGCAATATACTGTACATTAATTAACACAGGCATGCATGAACAGTATCAATTATTCAACGGCATAGTGGCTATATAAAAAAACGAGTTTCAAGACTATCGACTCCAAGCTAACAACTTAAAATGAAATAATTCACCGTGGGAAAACAGGCTACAGAGCAAACATAAATTACCACTGTCCAGAAATATATTTAAACCAACATATGACAGATGCTTACTCACCTTGAGAGGGAACTTTTTCTTGTACTGTTCAACATGAACAAAGGAGTTGATAACCCCATGGATTACTTTCTGATTTGGGTCCTCGCCACACCGGTCACTGTAAGAGAGGAAAACAAGCTCCATTAGGGGTGATCCCAATTCTATTGGGCATTTACATGTGTCTTGTAAAATAATTTAAATAAAATAGTAAAAGGTGACTTGTGGTTTTCAATGTCATTTCAATAAGTAGCCTACTAGTAATATCCTGAACTGGATTAACCTGCTACAACAATAGATACTGCATGTCAGAACAGAGCAAAAGGTTATTTCTTTATCGTCACAGAAACCAAACTCCAGGCCGAGTCATTATGACAATAACAAATCACTAAATAAGAGAACTGTGCATTTCACCTCAAGCGCTTCTCCTCCAATGCTAGCCCTGTTGAATCATATTGTACATCAGAACCAAGAACTACTGTACATACACTGCTCAAAAAAATAAAGGGAACAATAAAATAACACATTCTAGATCTGAATGAATGAAATAATCTTGTTAAATACTTTTTTCTTTACATAGTTGAATGTGCTGACAACAAAATCACAAAAATGATCAATGGAAATCAAATGTATCAACCCATGGAGGTCTGGATTTGGAGTCACCCTCAAAATTAAAGTGGAAAACCACACTACAGGCTGATCCAACTTTGATGTAATGTCCTTAAAACAAGTCAAATTGAGGCTCAGTAGTGTGTGTGGCCTCCACGTGCCTGTATGACCTCCCTACAACGCCTGGGCATGCTCCTGATGAGGTGGCGGATGGTCTCCTGAGGGATCTCCTCCCAGACCTGGACTAAAGCATCTGCCAACTCCTGGACAGTCTGTGGTGCAACGTGGCGTTGGTGGATGGAGCGAGACATGATGTCCCAGATGTGCTCAATTGGATTCAGGTCTGGGGAACGGGCGGGCCAGTCCATAGCATCAATGCCTTCCTCTTGCAGGAACTGCTGACACACTCCAGTCACATGAGGTCTAGCATTGTCTTGCATTAGGAGGAACCCAGGGCCAACCGCACCAGCATATGGTCTCACAAGGGGTCTGAGGATCTCATCTCGGTACCTAATGGCAGTCAGGCTACCTCTGGCGAGCACATGGAGGGCTGTGCGGCCCCCCAAAGAAATGCCACCCCACACCATGACTGACCCACCACCAAACCGGTCATGCTGGAGGATGTTGCAGGCAGCAGAACGTTCTCCACTGCGTTTCCAGACTCTGTCACGTGCTCAGTGTAAACCTGCTTTCATCTGTGAAGAGCACAGGGCGCCAGTGGCGAATTTGCCAATCTTGGTGTTATCTGGCAAATGCCAAACGTCCTGCACGGTGTTGGGCTGTAAGCACAACCCCCACCTGTGGACGTCGGGCCCTCATACCACCCTCATGGAGTCTGTTTCTGACCGTTTGAGCAGACACATGCACATTTGTGGCCTGCTGGAGGTCATTTTGCAGGGCTCTGGTAGTGCTCCTCCTGCTCCTCCTTGCACAAAGGTGGAGGTAGCAGTCCTGCTGCTGGGTTGTTGCCCTCCTACGGCCTCCTCCACGTCTCCTGATGTACTGGCCTGTCTCCTGGTAGCGCCTCCATGCTCTGGACACTACGCTGACAGACACAGCAAACCTTCTTGCCACAGATCGCATTGATGTGCCATCCTGGATGAGCTGCACTACCTGAGCCACTTGTGTGGGTTGTAGACTCCGTCTCATGCTACCACTAGAGTGAAAGCACCGCCAGCATTCAAAAGTGCCCAAAACATCAGCCAGGAAGCATAGGAACTGAGAAGTGGTCTGTGGTCACCACCTGCAAAACCAGTCCTTTATTGGGGGTGTCTTGCTAATTGCCTATAATTTCCACCTGTTGTCTATTCCATTTGCACAACAGCATGTGAAATGTATTGTCAATCAGTGTTGCTTCCTAAGTGGACAGTTTGATTTCACAGAAGTGTGATTGACTTGGAGTTACATTGTGTTGTTTAAGTGTTCCCCTTATTTTTTTGAGCAGTGTATAAAACAAGAACCAACTTTTTGATTTCATTCAGCAGCATCCGGATCAGGACAGCTTGCAGGGGCTCGATCATCAGCTTCCTCCACATGTCTAGTGCTAGCTGAAATGGCAGTAAGGATAATTGTATGAGCACATCATATTGTATGTCAGCACTCAGAAATGCAAACTGATATATTGTGACATTTGTACTGAATAACGGAGAATGTAAGTAATGAGATATGATTGAGACTTACCTCTCCTATCTCCATAAGTGGTTCGTTCATGTCAACCCCTCCATAGCCATACTGCAAGTCTGCCTCTGTCAGTTTGTTCTTCTTGATGAACTGTGTGTTGAGGTACCTACATTAGAAAGAGAGGAGAGAAAGCGCATTAAACAACATAATATTAATATAATAACACTTGATAATAACTCTTATTTATCTAGAGTTCAACCAAAGTATTGGTAAGACTAGCTCGCTATGGGCGACCCATAACTCAGATTCACTAGTGTGTGAAAGGCCCTGGGATGTTGGCCAATCAGGCCACAGAGAGATAGCAGACAGAAACTGTCCAGCACACATACATGCTGGCTCTGATGGCAGTCATCAGACTACCTACATTCCACAAGTTGTTTTCACAGCTGTGCTGTCCACCTAGAATCAGCAGGAGAGTGACGAGAAGAGATATGAACTCAAGTTCATTTATACAAAATGATGGGATGACAACGTGCTAAATGACCGCTGAAATTGATGAGCTTGTTGTAGAAAATGATGATATCTAAAGCTGTCACTGTGGCGTGAGGTAGCCAAAGTCTTAATTTCCCAAAACATCTGCCAATGTGAAATATAAAATATCTGCACCTGAGAAAATGTAGCTTAGCCTAAATAGTAGAAGTGGCAGTGTTCTTTATATAAGGTGTCAATGGCAGAGTAGGTCAGGAACTAGAAATGACTGAGTGATAAGTGCTGGCAGCTACACAATAGCAGTACTCTACTACAGTACTATCAGATTCGACACACACAAACACATTACCCACCCAAGTGCACTTGTAAAAATAGATCCAATACCTCACTATGGGGTATTGATTTTCAAATGAAAAGAGGACACACACAGAAACAGTCAATGGTTGTTGGCACTTCAAAGTTAAGTGTTTCAAGGTAACATTAATGGCCAATAATATGGGGAGCCCATGGGAGAAGCAGGAAGGACAGTGACCTCTACAGTGCTCATGCACCTCATACTGCATTTATGTGGCAAACTCCTACAAAACACAGACAAGTTTGCTGGCACTAAACAATAGGAGAGCTAGGGCTTACAGTAAGACTGAACTCCTATAAGATGGGCTGTATTATTTCAGATTTAGTCAAACCTGGTGTATTGGCTCTCCTATTCGTCGGGGTGTCATCAAAACATTCATAAAAAGGCTGATGGATATTACCTGTACAAGCAATCCATGTAGTCTGCTCCCTTGCTATACTCCTCCCAGTATCTGTGGTACATAACTAAAACCTTCTCCTCCGACTCAAGAACTTTCTGAAATTACAGAGAAAGAATCAGTTTAATACCTTGGCACCTCAATGAAAAGCAGACAACCAACAAATAGAGCAATTAGGATATCCAATATTGAGCAATGGGAAATGTGTCTGAATCAGGTGAAATCAATAGCTTGATTGATACAAATGATTCATCGTATTTACCTTGTACAACTGTCTGACATGGTTCTCCAGGAACACCTTGGTCTCTGTGTACAACTTTTCACCCAGAGGCTCCGGGTAAGCAACACACAAAGCATAGATGTCACTGATTTTAGAGTAAAGGAGTCAAACACATTCATCTATAACACTGAGGAAGAAAATCATGCAGACATTATTTTCTATTTAAAAAGTGACACGTGAACTTGAAAATGTGCTGAAGTTAACTTTGGCTTTATTTAATGGCTTGATTTAATGTCTCGACTATGTAAGCACAGATCAGTGGCATTTTAGACTACAAAATAATGGGCAAACTATTTTTCAATTTTTCTGTAGAGCTGAAACAGAAAGGATACGAGAATCTGTCGTTCCATGTGGCCCTCTCCACATAATCAAGCATCACCACAGCCTTGATTGTCGTCAGTAGCTTGTTCCATGTTTCATCAAAGTCCACCACCCGCGGCTTCAAGGACATCGTATGGCTTCTTCTTCAGGCTGAGATAAAGAGGGGAAAATAACAGAGTTATTGGTGTGATTGCACAGCACTGTAATGTTGGAGCAAACTATTTTGAATTATTAAAGCAAATTAATCATGTATGGTTGTTGAATCAATTAATATACACTCCAATTGTAATCAGTCCAACATCGCACTGCAAATATTAATGTTATATTTCCTCTTCAGATTGGATAAACTGTTACATAATATGTCTCAATAATTAAACAATACTTGGAAATACAGATAATTTACTGATCTGCCTGTAGCATAATGATATTAACTCTGATTATAAGTACTATGCTTGCAATTACAATCTCAAACATGGTGTTGTGATAAAGTTTATGACATTAATTTAACAATTTACAGTTAAATGGTTAACAACTTAAACTAAAAGCCATATCACAAATGTGTCATGTAAAAATTTGCTGGGAAATTATATAAATATTATACTGCATCAGCTCAATAACACAAATGTAGATTTAGGCCTACATAGCATTACACCTCAACATTCAAACAATCAATAAAATGTCCTATTAATAGCTAACGTTAAAAGGGACTGTTCCACCAAAGTCACAGGTTGTTACTAGAAAACTAATTGACACAGTGTAAACAATGCATTTCGCCAGAATAATCAGTCATCATGTTACCCAACGTTGATAGCTAACTAAGTCAGCAATAATATTTGCTAACAATATTCAGTCATTCGTGACATTAGTTGAACTGTCACAGGTAGCAAGGGGAGTATAATGTTCACGTTAGATATCCCGCAATACTTTTTTTTTTTTTTAGGCCTGGCTAGCTAGCTTGCAGCTATCCATTCCATTCGTCATTCAAGCTAGCTTGTCACTTTCGGAGAATGTCGCTACATGTTACAGACATAGCTATTTCGCTTAGTTAGCTACTCATTGAAGACACGAACAGTCATATTTTTATCGAACAATGTCTTAAATTGACTAACTAACCATGTAGCTAGGAAGAAGCACCAAAATAGCTAGCTAGGTACAGTCGCTAGCTGCTAGCTTTGAGATCCAGTTAGAGCTAGGCACTTCCAGCTAGCGACCGATTTGGGGTAGCTACCTAACGTTAGCTAGCTAGCTGCGACTTTAATACATTTATACTGGCAACACGCTACAGTACAGTATCATGGTCTACAAAAACATGTTAACAAGGTTAAATGCAGATTTCTAATATATACATACCTCTAACCAATATGTGTTATTAAAAAGTCAAGTTTCTTCACTGTCACAGGGTTGATCTCTTTCACTTAGCTACAGCTCTTTCATTACCCTACCTTATGGAATATACCATTGTATCAGCTGTAGGGTGTACGGTATTGGAGTAGTTATGAATGTAGTAATTATTAGCATTTAATATAATAATATCAGAGAAGGTAAATGTGTACAATGAAAATATTAATATCTAATAAAAGTCCCAATTACAGATGGCGTCGAGTCAAACACTTATTAAAAAAATCACCATTGTAAGGCAAGAACATCCCTATTTTGTAATGGTGTCGGCACAAACTACGGATACCCGTTTGGGAGCTGTAAGGTAGAGCAAAAAGTAATTTATGAATCGCGTATGAAAACTAGAATGTACATTTCTTCAGCTGTACAAATGCAAGATGTGAAGTAGGAATACTAAGAGATATACAGTAGGCTATTATTTGTATGATTGGAAGGGTTAAGAACCAGTCTACTTAAAAAGTGGTGTGTCATTCAAGTGGTCTTGAATATTGACTGGGTTACACTGTATTATAAAACTTGTTGTTTGGATCCTGGATGCTGATTGGACGAGCAGCGTTCCAAGCCGTGCTGTATTGGCTGTCAAAGACACACCTATGCCTGCTAACGGTTCCATCTGAAAATTACCATTGCGCCTTCAATGAGAATATCATGTTCATGTTGCTGTCAGAATCATCTTGTATTGATCTTAACTCGCACATTATTTCCCCTTGCTTCCAGCCTGACATTTAGTTTGGTACAGCGGGGGTTAATACAAGACTCGCTGTCTGCCTGTCCGACCTCGGAAACAATGTTTCACTTTTGAATTTCGATCTCTTTAGTACCATACATAATAATAATAATAATATGCCATTTAGCAGACGCTTTTATCCAAAGCGACTTACAGTCATGCGTGCATACATTTTTGTGTATGGGTGGTCTCGGGGATCGAACCCACTACCTTGGCGTTACAAGCGCCGTGCTCTACCAGCTGAGCTACAGAGGACCACATAGAGTGAACAGTGCCCAGCCGAGACAAGACAACTTTTTTCTGAGCCATCACGCATCAACGTCAATATCATGGAAATATCCAAGTAAATGCCAATAGAAAAAAAGCTAAAACAAACGAAAATGTAGCTAGTGTACTGTCATTGCAGGTTAAATGTTTGACTTGAGTGACAATAACGTTATCCAGCCTGCATAGCAACCATTTTGTTTAGAATGGACGACCAGTCCAAAGACTTTTATAACTAACCCAAGATAGACAAGAGCCTATCGTTTCCAATGGGAGCAAATGAATCATAGTGGGCAGAACAAGCAAGTAGGTGGGCAGAGCTAGTTAGATCATATTGGATCGTTCTAACATTTATTTGCATATTTCCGTTAGCCACTGTGAGGCTGCGTGTGCAATAAATCAATACGCCCTTGCACTCCTAAACAACGCAATAAAAAAAAAAAACGCTGTCCACTCTGTTTGTTACAGATTCTAGTTTTGGAAACAGAAAACTTTATGGAGATCAAATGTTTCGATGAGAAAATAAGCAGAATGTCGGCCAAAATCCATCTCGCTCTAATTTCTCCCACTGCCGGCCACTGGGCTTCCCCTCGTCACCATATTTGGTAGTGAGTGGAAACGCCAACCGGATACTTCATATTTATACATCCGGTGAAATATCAAACTCATTGTTCTATTTGTGACCATCCTTTTGCATAGCAACGATGCAAAAATAATTAATGACTGGCTTCGCGTCTGTAACAACATGACCAAAATAATAAATAATAATATGCCACTTAGCAGAGGCTTTTATCCAAAGCGACTTACAGTCATACATGTTGTGTCTGGCTGGTCCCGGGGATCGAACCCACTACCTTGGTGTAACAAGCGCTGTGCTCTACCAGCTGAGCTACAGAAGAACTAACAACCAGATTTTTGTCCAGACTATTTCTTCTGGTGGAAGAATGAAATTGTATGAATTGACTCATCAAAACGTTTTAATGAAAATATGTAATTCATTGTTATTTTAATATGTTGGTAACAGTTTAATAAAAGCAATAAGGAACTCGAGGCAGTGCTGTATCATGAATACAGCGCAATTTACATGTGGCTGTATTCATTGCATAATTAATTAATTATTTTGGTTCTATTCATATCATATTACCATTCACGAAATATATATACATATTTGATTTGACACTATATCAATGTAATGTATTTGCCTAGAGCAACATTTTTATTTAATTGGGAGATCCAGAGATGCATTAACAATTTAGGACCTGTCTGCCCAAAATGTTGAAAATGAACATAACATACTCATAGCAAATAAATAACATTCAATGACAATTAGACTGAATTACATTATATGTACTTTTGTTTCAAAGTTAGATATAAATTGTAATATCATGTAACAATCTCTCACAGGTCTTTGGCAGTGTTGTGTTGGTGGGAAGTCTGTCTGTAGGCCAAACAAGGGGTAGATTTACTGACCTAAAACCACCAGATGTCGCTCGCTACTCACTTTTATTAATTGACGTGTTGATCGATACTCTGCAACAAGTAGTAAGCTTAGCTACAGTAGCTATGGAAAAGTGGTAACAAAGTAACACAGACCTGAATGATGATGAGCCTTCCGGATCAGACAAATCTCAAGATCTGGACGATGTGAATGGATGCTTGTGCAAAATCTTTAAACATTGAATGGGTGCTACAGGGTAGATCGGGTGAGCATTTTGACTGGGATGGGGTTTTGGCGGCAGGAGTTAAACGTTCCAAGAAGAAAGTTAGCTCTGTCCAATCAAAAACAGTTTAAATTGTAAGCATCGCGCGCGTACGACCATTATGATTTTAAAATATATTCGGTTAAAATTTCCATTTTACTCTAATCGACAGCGATATTTTTTTGCAATTATTTTGAGGTAGTTAGCCACATATTAGCCAAAAACTCATCTAGACTCCGTTCACAGCTAGCTAAAGTTATTTATTTTCGCAGTACTTTTCGAATTTGGTTTGGACACCATTGAGTTCCTTGCAGATTTCTACCTAGCTAAGTTAGCTAAATAGCTAACTACTGCTTATTTGGCTTGTTACTTACCTAGCGACTGTACCTATCTAATAATGTAACATCCAGTGGCCTAACGGTAACGTTAGGTTGCTAGCTTTAGCTACCACACCACCACCTTGAGCATGCCAACGGACAGGATAGCTTGAAAGTGGAAACAATATGGTTGACTATTGTGAACCTTGCTAGCACCCAGTCACAGCCAAGAGTTTGTAATGTAGTTACTCTTTGGCACACAGTGTTCTGGCATTTGTGACCCAAAGCCAGGATGTGCAGCTGCACGGTGCAAGGTTTTGTTCCAACACAGTAGCAATTGGTAGAGGCAGTAGTATGACAACTAATCAGCCAATCATTAATTTGCCCACCTCTTTGTTCTTTATAGGACGATTATCATGGCAAGCTATGACTGTCAAATGCAGGAGCAGGGCAGCAGTGGTTCACTATCATCACTAGCACAGGTATTTAAAATGGAGACAGACATTCCTCAAAGTGTTATGATCTGCAGGTGTCCATCCGTTAGCATTGTTTCCAGATGACTGTGATGCTGTTGACTTGCATAGTAGCCAGACAGATCAACTGTTAATGGAAGATTTCATTTCCCAGGTAGCAACAAGAAGAGCAAAATCAGAGGACAGAAACTCAAACGAAGATGTTTCTAACACACACAACAAGAGAGAGCTTCCCTTCAGAAGACAGACATACAGGTATTTGTATTTCCTTTAAATTAAAGTGTAGAGTAATAGAGCTGCAATACATCTATTTCACAGTCATCTTTACACATTTGTTTTTCTCCTCAGAAAAGTGTCTTCAGATCCAGCAGGTCCAAAAGTTGAAGAGATAAAAGAGGAGGTAGCGCCTTGCAGTGTCCCACCAGGTCCCGGCATGCCAGCCTCTATTTATCAGACAAACCATGGCCAGTTCAGTAAGTCTCGCTGGAAGGGACATGTGTTCCAAAATAAATATGTTTATTTAAAAATCCAGATGTATTTGACACATCTCAGTCTCTGAAAGTCCATAGTTGATTTGGTTATGTGAAAGTGATGTGAAAGGACAAGACAGCATACTACAGGCACTTGATTAATAAACTGATGTAATTGGCAGCTGTTTACACCATTTCTGCATAACCAAAAAGCATTTGTGTAATGCTCAAATGATGACATTCCTGTCGAGTGACTTTTCATTTTTAAACATGTAGGCCTAAAGTTTTCACTTAATTTGAAGTGTTCAAGCTTTAACAACAAAAAAATAAATGGTTGTTTAGTTCTTTCCCTGGATTTTTTTTTAGCAGTGTTGGTTAAGGTCATGGGGCCTACATTTTTAAAATGTAGAATGGCTGTGAGAAGGCAAGTTCTGATGACTTCCTAAAAGGACATTCTACTCCAAAATGAATGAAAATAAAATTATGCTGACAACATCTAAAATATAATTTCCCCCTCCATAATTAAGCTCAGTAACATATTGGTCCATATCAAATGAAATCAAATTGTGTTTGTCACATGCGCCGAATAAAACAAGTGTAGACTTTAGCGTGAAATGCTTACTTACGAGGCCCATTCCCAACAATGCAGTTAAAAGTAAGAAAATTAACAAATAGATAAAAAGAAAATAGTAACACAATAAAATAACACAATAAAACAATAATAACGAGTCTATATGCAAGGAGTACTGGTACTGAGTCAGTGTACTGGTGTACGAGGTAGTTGGGGTGATTGATTGAGGTAATACTGTATGTACAGTGGGGATAAAAAGTATTTGGGTCATTCTACAGATTCGGTGCCTTTTGTGATTGAGGAGGATGAAACAATGAACATTAAAATCTTAAGCGTTTTTTTATTTGATGTGACAAAGTAATGTGTGTACTTGATAGAAAATACCTTTTCCCATCTCAATGTAGAGTATTAAGTTATTATTCTGTATTATTTTCTCAAACAAGTCCCAATTTAATTCAACCCCGTCACAGTCATTTTGTTATTCAACTATTCATTTTTCCAATAAGCTTGAGATCAGCTTCTGGCATAATCTCACAGTTTAGATGTCCCTTGTAAATAATGGCATATTGTAATTAAAGAGAAAATCAAGAAAAACTGACCAGCACCATCCTTTCCAGTTTACGATGAAGAAATTTCTAATCTAACTCCACATTTTCGCAAGAAATGTGCAAGAATGCTGCGTAATTCCTGACAAAATTGAAATAGCCTTATTTACCCTGATTTAATACACACAATAAAAACACTATTGATGTTATATTTTGTGTATTTAATACAAAAATGTAAAAAAATTATCTCGTAACAGGGATGAATGCACCGCAACAGGGTTGAAAATCATGTAACAGGGTTGAGTGAAAAGCATCACGTGTCATATGTTTTATCTTTTGAGATCACTAACATGTTGCCATTTTTTAAACATTTTAAACATTTTTAAACCTACTGTCAACATAGCTTTTAAAATCTAAAGAATCTAGATGAAAGCTAGACAGAGTAAAACACATTAATGAACTAATAACAGTAACAACATTTCATTGATTTCATAAAAATATCCATCTGATAATGGCAGGAGTCTGTTTGAACATTGAGCAAACATCTTAACATTGATAACCTATATAGGTCACATGTTGCCATTTTTTAACATTTTAAACTACTGTCAACATAGCTTTTAAAGTTTAAACAATCAAGATGAAATCTAGACAGATTAAAACACATTAATAAACTAACAACAGTTACAACATTTTCATTGATTTCATAGAAATATCCAGAGTAATGGCAGGAATGTCTGTGTTGTTTGAATGTTTGAACATTAAGCAAACATCTTAACATTAATAACCTATAGGTAAGCCTACAGTTTGTTCACCATTTTTACTGAGAGAGCCTAGCCCACACTTCCTTCTGTATTTCCATGTGCCTAGAAGTCACCGGTTTAGGGTGATCAATGTGTTCCAAGATGTCCTCAAATGGATACCACAGGATATCATCAAGAAGTGGCCAGAAGTACCTATTTGGTCCAGCACAGCACATGCATTTGACCTGCACATGGGATTCATCTGTGGCTAGAATTATTCCGGGATAGAAATCGTCATCATATTTGGCCACGCACCATTTCCCGCATATGTCTGGATTTGCCCAATCAACCTCCCTCTGTGACACGACTGATGTAACTTTAGGGGTAAATGTGAAATGTTGTGAATTGAAACACTGGCATTCCAGTTTCTTGTTGTGGACTGTGCACATACAGCTTACATCACGGTAGGCAATTTGCCTTGCAGCCACACAAACAACTTGGTGGATCCGCATTGTGGATGGAACTACTGGCAAATTGGCTGGCATACCTTGGACGGCTTTCTCGATGGCCTCGTCTTCAATTAAGTAAAGCTTGATGGCAGTGTTGTTCTCCTCTAAGACCCTGTACAGAGTATGAGCATTTGAGATGTCACATCCTTGACTTATCAGCCTGTCTGCGGTTCTTTTTAGGGTTGCACCAACACCATCTGGTGCTCCCTTCCCATGTCCAGGAGAATTACCTGACCACCGGCGCGCGGATGTCCCTCACCTTCCTCTCTATGCGTGTTTCCTTTCTGCTGCTGTTTTTTCCATTGTTGAATCTGAAATTGTAGGTCAAGGTCAAGTCAATGACCTGCTTACTCTTCAAGACTAAATATTGTATCCTTTTAATCACTATGTAGTAAAATGAACATGAACTTGCAGATAATACTCCTAAATATGTCAATGTATATAGGAGAGAGAACAAATTAATTGTCACTTTTTTTAAGTTATTATTTTCAAAAATTCCTCGTACTTTTAGTTGATACTGTAAAACCGTAAACAACAAACATTCAACAAGAAAATATGATTGGTATTAAGCAATATACATTAAATATTGCTAAGATTTAACAGCTATTCAACCCTGTAACAGCCATTCAACCCCGTAACATTGAAAAATGTGATGGGGTTGAATGTGACAGGGTTGAAGATTTTGTGCTAATCTGTTGCTAATTCGGGATGCTAGCAGCTAGCAGTGTGCCACATGGCCTTATTCAACAAAAGACATTGTTATACTTCATAGCTATAAAAACAATTCTTGGTAAAATCTTAACTATGAATCCCCCCCCCCCCAACAGAGTCGAATACCTGAGATTGACAAAGCCCATATGTGCTTAAAAAACATGAAATATTTATAAAAAGTGAGAGAGCAGCTTACCACTTGTCACACCAGGCTTCTCTGAAGACTTGTATGATGTCACTTCCTCATAAATGATGTCCACAGGATCAAACCATTATTTAATTGTGAGTGGGGGTATTGTTGCGTTACGGGGTTGAAAGAAATACAAGGACAGGGGTAAAAGCCTGAATTTCTCAGAAAATAAAATGTCTTATGCTGAGAAAATGGATTATTCATAATAAGGGGGCATATACAATTAATTTAACAAAAAAAAAGCATTATTATTTAACACTGTGTACTCAAAATGAGTCACGCCATTTGCATGATGGTCAATAGGGACAGGCGAAATTCTTAATACTCCTAAGAAAAGCAAACATATAAGTATTGAAATTCATCTCTGTTTAAAATCATATTCTCTACTCCATATTAAAAACATGTAAAACTTTGAAATGTTGTAATTTAAGTGTAGTTTGATAAATGTTCTGACAAGTTATAACACTAGTACATCTTGGGACACTGACAATACTGAAATGTCACCGAATCTGTAGAATGACCCATTTAGTCAGCCACCAATTGTGCAAGTTCTCCCACTTAAAAAGATGAGAGAGGCCTGTACTTTTCATCATAGGTACACGTCAACTATGACAGACAAAATGAGGGAAAAAAATCCAGAAATTCACATTGTAGGATTTTTAATGAATTTATTTGCAAATTATGGTGGAAAATAAGTATTTGGTCACCTACAAACAAGCAAGATTTCTGGCTCTCACAGACATGTAACTTCTTCTTTAAGAGGCTCCTCTGTCCTCCACTCGTTACCTGTATTAATGGCACCTGTTTGAACTTGTTATCAGTATAAAAGACACCTGTCCACAACCTCAAACAGTCACACTCCAAACTCCACTATGGCCAAGACCAAAGAGCTGTCAAAGGACACCAGAAACAAAATTGTAGACCTGCACCAGGCTGGGAAGACTGAATCTGCAGATTCAGTCTTCCCAGCCTGGTGCAGGTCTACAATTTTGTTTCTGGTGTCCTTTGACAGCTCTTGGTTTGAAGAAATCAACTGTGGGAGTAATTATTAGGAAATGGAAGACATACAAGACCACTGATAATCTCCCTCGATCTGGGGCTCCACGCAAGATCTCACCCCGTGGGGTCAAAATGATCACAAGAACGGTGAGCAAAGCTCCCAGAACCACACGGGGGGACCTAGTGAATGACCTGCAGAGAGCTGGGACCAAAGTAACAAAGCCTACCATCAGTAACACACTACGCCGCCAGGGACTCATATCCTGCAGTGCCAGACGTGTCCCCCTGCTTAAGCCAGTACATGTCCAGGCCCGTCTGAAGTTTGCTAGAGTGTATTTGGATGATCCAGAAGAGGATTGGGAGAATGTCATATGGTCAGATGAAACCAAAATATAACTTTTTGGTAAAAACTCAACTCGTCGTGTTTGGAGGACAAAGAATGCTGAGTTGCATCCAAAGAACACCATACCTACTGTGAAGCATGGGGGTGGAAACATCATGCTTTGGGGCTGTTTTTCTGCAAAGGGACCAGGACGACTGATCCGTGTAAAGGAAAGAATGAATGGGGCCATGTATCGTGAGATTTTGAGTGAAAACCTCCTTCCATCAGCAAGGGCATTGAAGATGAAACGTGGCTGGGTCTTTCAGCATGACAATGATCCCAAACACACCACCCGGGCAACGAAGGAGTGGCTTCGTAAGAAGCATTTCAAGGTCCTGGAGTGGCCTAGCCAGTCTCCAGATCTCAACCCCATAGAAAATCTTTGGAGGGAGTTGAAAGTCCGTGTTGCCCAGTGACAGCCCCAAAACATCACTGCTCTAGAGGAGATCTGCATGGAGGAATGGGCCAAAATTCCAGCAACAGTGTGTGAAAACCTTGTGAAGACTTACAGAAAATGTTTGACCTGTGTCATTGCCAACAAAGGGTATATAACAAAGTATTGAGAAACTTTTGTTATTGACCAAATACTTATTTTCCACCATAATTTGCAAATAAATTCATAAAAAATCCTACAATGTGATTTTCAGGATTTTTTTTCCCTCATTTTGTCTGTCATAGTTGACGTGTACCTATGATGAAAATTACAGGCCTCTCTCATCTTTTTAAGTGGGAGAACTTGCACAATTGGTGGCTGACTAAATACTTTTTTTCCCCACTGTACATGTAGGTTTGATTAGGTGATTGATTGAAGTACTATGTACATGTAGGTAGGGGGTGAAAAGCAGAAAGTCCGGGTAGCTGTTTAATTAACTGTTCAGCAGTCTTATTGCTTTGGGGTAGAAGCTGTTCAGGAGCCTTTTGTTCCCAGACTTGGCACTCCAGTACAGTTTTGGACCATAATTGGTCCTTAGTGATATGGACACCGAAGAACTTGAAGCTCTCAACCGTCTCCACTATAGCCCTGTCGATGTGAATGGGGGCGTACTCGGCCCTCTGTTTCCTGTAGTCCACTATGAGCTCCTTTGTCGTGCTGACGTTAAGGGAGAGGTTGTTGTCCTGGTACCACACTGGCAGGTCTCTGACCTCCCTGTAGGCTGTCTCATCGTCGTCAGTGTTCAGGCGTACCACCATCGTGTCGTCAGCAAACTTAATGATGATGTTGGAGTCGTTTTGCGGCCATGCAGTCGTGGGTAAATAGGGAGTACAGAAGGGGGCTAAGCACACACCCCTGAGGGCCCCCCATGTTGAGGGTCAGCATGGTGGATGTGTTGTTGCCTACACTCACCACCTGCAGGCGGCCTTCAGAAAGTTCAGTATCCAATCGCAGAGGGAGGTGTTTAATCCCAGGGTCCTTAGCTTAGTGATAAGCTTGGAGGGCACTATGGTGTTGAATGCTGAGCTGTAGTCAATAAACAGCATTCTCACGTAGGTGTTCATTTTGTCCAGGTGGGAAAGGGTAGTGTGGTGTGCTATTTAGCAATAAGCATGATCACCTTTAGTAGCCCAACTGATGCAGCGTAGTCACTGGCTATAAATAAATAAGCTGAAGCAGATGGTTGCCGATCTGCATTTACCTCATTGGACGAATCATTACCTATGGGGTAAGTGCAGGCCCCGGCCCAATATAACCCCTATTCGTTTGTTGTCCTCAGTTACCTTTACTCAGGATGGTGCCATCCAGCTGACCAGTGCTCTACCTAGGGGTCTACAGGGCCTGCAGCCTCTGACCATGTCCAACTCTGGAAACCCCCAGTCTGCTGCAGCCATCGTCCAGTATTCCCAACAGTCAGGAGATGGCACTCAGCAGTTCTATATGCAAGGCAATAAGGTGATGGTAAAAGGTAAATGCTCCATTCCCTCACCATTAAGGTCTGCCATCAAATGGATTAGATTGGATTATTAGCAGGGGTTAAATTGGGCCGAGACTCGGCACCTATGATCCAAATGAGAGCCAGACCAACAGCAAAATCAGTTTATATAAATAATAAAATAATCCTATTAAATTACTAGAAGGGCTATGTCATAAAGCCTCTAAAATATATGTCAACAGACCATAAATGTCTCAATTTTTGTTTTCTTGGAAAGCTAAGAGTGCTGTTATATGATACAATATCAGTACTTGTTGCATTTACAACTTGTCCAAGTCCTATCATCTACTGATTTCAGCCAGTGTATGGCTGTGGATTGACTGCATAGATGCGGTTAAAGAGGTCAATGGAACACAGACCGTGGGGGATAGAAAGATGCTGGATTGGGGGACATTCAACAAATCTGATCTAACAAAGTGGATATTCGTGAAATCCGTCATGATTGATGTATTGTAACAAGCTCACAATGTGGTTACTAAAGTTTGATTTGGATATACACTGAGTGTACAAAACATTAAGAACACCTTCCTAATATTGAGTTGCACCCCACCCATTTGGCCCTCAGATTCTACAAGGTGTCAAAAGCATTCCACAGGAATGCTGGCCCATGTTGACTCCAGTGCTTCCCATAGTTGTGTCAAGTTGGCTGGATGTCCTTTGGGTGGTGCACCATTTTTGATAAACATGGGAAACTGTTGAGTGCGAAAAACCCAGCAGTGTTGCAGTTCTTGACACAAACCGGTGCACCTGGCACCTACTACCATACCCCGTTCAAAGGCACTTAAATATTCTGTCTTGCCCATTCACCCTCTGAATGACACACATACACAATCCATGTCTCAATTGTCTCAAGGCTTAAAAATCCTTCTTTAACCTGTCTCCTTCATATACACTGATTGAAGTTGATTTAACAAATGACATCAATAAGGGATCATAGCTTTCACCTGGTCAGTCTATGTCATGGAAACACTAAGTGTATTTGGCAGGTTTCGCTGCATGACATTTAGAAGTTGTCCCTTTTCAGGTTTAGAAGAAGTGACTGCTAAATGCTAACTCCTGTTCGTATAAACTGGTAGCATAGCTAGCATACAGAAATTGGTGGTGGTAGACAAAGTCGTTTTTAACTGTAATGCAGTTGATTGATAATGATGACATGAACATGTATTGGGGTTGATATCCATACAAGCAATATACTCCAATTTTTACCTCAACATAGTGTGAAATACACATATAACAATACCTAAATGTGGGCTAATTTTACTGGGCGGCAATCACGAGATTAGGGATCTTACCCCTACAGCATTTTCCCTCCACACTTTTCAATCCATTTACATTGTTTTGGTCGAGTGTCATTGAACCTTTTACCGCTTCTATTGTTTGAATGGAATGTTGGTATATTAGCAGTTAATTGAAACATTTAATGGAATCATACCTCTAAAACTGTCTGGCTAGCTAGCTAACAAACATACAGTGCAGATAAATTATTCAAATTAATTATTTTGCACATTGTCTTATCACAGAACTGGCAAACCATGGTTGACCAACTCCTTGACCAAAACGGCTTACCTTTCTCCCACCATAAGAAGGTTCATGTCCATTCTGGTATTCTAATGCCTAATTATATAGGGGTGACCTCCAGGGGGTTTTAAAGATTACTGTTTGTGATCTAAGACCAGGTAATGATTTGCCCAATTGGGGTAAATGCAGATGGAAAACCTGCTTCAGCCTATTTATTTATAGCCACTGACTATGCTGCATCAGTTGGGCTACAGGGGATCATGCTTATTGCGGAATAGCACACCTTTCTGTTATATGGACAAATATGTGATTGGCCTTAATTCTGAAATTATATTTGAGATGTTGTCAGCATCATTTAATTTTCATTCATTTTGGAGTAGAATGTCCTTTTAAAATGTCACCGGAACTGACCCTCTCACAGTCGTTCAACCCAAATCACAGTTGTTCAACCCCAAAAAATTGTAGGCCTATACGACCCTTGCCACCACTGCAAAAAAAACACTAACCAGCTGTTATTAAAGGTCCAATGCAGCCGTTTTTATCTCTAAATCAAATAATTTCTGGGTAGCAATTAATTACCTTACTGTGATTGTTTTCAACAACAACAACAAAAAACATTAATAGCAACAATTGAAATGGAAAAAAAGAAACAAAAATAGCTTCTCAAGCAATAATTTTGCTAGGACTGTCTGGGAGTGGTCCAGTGGAGGCTGCTGAGGGGAGGACGGCTGGAATGGAGTTAATGGAATGGCATCAAACACGTGGAAACCATGTGTTTGATGTATTTGATACCATTCCACTCATTTCCGCTCCAGCCATTACCACTAGCCCGTCCTCCCCAATTAAGGTGCCACCAACCTCCTGTGGAGTGGTCTGAGTGGGGAGGGGAAAACTGAACATTAGCTGCTATTGCCAGAGTGGTTTGGAACTCTTTCTTATTGACTAATCTTCCACATGGTGATGTCACCATGGAAGGCCAAAACCCACCAAAACAGGCAGAAAATATTTTAAAACAGCCCTTACACTAAAAGGACATTATCATAATTTTCACAATTTCACAGTATTATTCCAACCTCAAAGTGTTGGAAATATATATAAAACCCAGGAAAATCACATTTTTGACTGCACTGGACCTTTAAAGTAGGCTGTACTACTGTAAAGTACTCTTCATCGTGATCCCTGGCAGGAGTCTCCAGAAGCGCCAATACATCCAGAACAGCGCTGCTAGGATCTTGAAGAGAGTGCAGAAACACCATCACATCACCCCCATCCTGGCATCTCTGCACTGGCTCCCCGTCTCATTCCGGATTGAATTCAAAACCCTCCTGCTGACTTTCTAGTGTATTCGTGGCAGTGCCCCTCCTTATCTCAAAGAACTGCTTTTCCCTCCATAACCCCACCTGCACCCTCAGGTCAAGCGATAGCCTGCTCTTCCACGCCCCCAGGACCAAGTTCCGCTACTTGGAGGATCGGGCATTCAGCTCGACCACCCCAAACCTCTGGAATGCTCTCCTGGACCCCTTTGAAAGCACAATAAACTCTAGACTCCTTTAAAATTGGCCTAAAGACCTTTCTCTTTAGGAAGGCTTTCTGTTGATAGCTGTGCTCCTTGGTATCCTTGTCCCTTGTGGTGTCCGCTGGGTTCTTTGTGTCAGTTGCCCTGTCTAGTTGTGCCCATTTATTTTTCTATTTGGTAAAAATTATTCTGTATAATGAAAAGTGCTTTAAAAATGAAATAAATTATTATTATTAAAGCTTGGACACTTCAAATTAAGTGAGAAAAAAACTAAAAGTCACTCAACTGGAATGTCATGATTTGAGCATTACATAGAAATCACATTGTGCAGAAATTATGTTTACAGCAGTTTATTAAGTATTTAAGTAGTATTAAGTAGAGTGCTGTCATATATGTTTTTGTCAGTATATATTGTTTCGGTTAGTGTATTATATCATTCACACCCAATACCCAATTCAATGTTTTAAAAAGACATACAAATAATCTCCTTTAAAAATGCTTTTGTTGTTGTTGAGATTAACACATTTGAGAAGCAATTTAAACCTTTCATAGGCCAAAAAAAACACAAAAGCAATAAATACCAGTGGAGGGGGAGGACTCATAGATCAATGCATGTCATCATTGACATCAGGAAGCCAATGATGTCATAGTGATGTCAATGCCCTTAATTGTGATTGCACACATAGCTGGTGGTTTTGGAAGCATTTCAGTTAGAGAGCTGCATTTGGACCTCTTAAGAACAGATATGGCTGTTGCTGCGGATGAGTCAGGTATGTTAACTTTAATCTTTTACTTTTTTATGTAACTAGACAAGTCAGTTAAGAACACATTTTCATTTACAATGACAGCCTACCACAGCCAAACCCTCCCCTAACCTGGACAACTGTGCGCTTCCCTATGGGACTCCCAATCACGGCCAGATGTGATACAGCCTGGGATTGAACCAGGGTCTGTAGTGATGCCTCTTGTACTGACATGCAGTGCCTTAGACCGCTGCGCCACTCGAAAGCTTGATGAGAAAGTTAAAGAGAAAATGGTAACTGTGAAGGAACTCCTCTGTCTTCGTGCTACACTAATACTGTACAGCCTGCGTAGCCTCTGCTTTTTGGATTAATTATTAATTTTGACTCTTAACTGTAGAAGATTGTTATTGTATGATAATAATATCACAGTTGTCTACAGACATTAGCTAATAAAATTGAAAGAAAACGTACTATAAAGTCATAAAGGTATTGAACTCACCATGAAGTAATAAAGGTATTGAAAATGTGTTGATATCCTGAGAGATATAACACAGTTGTTGTATTGCTTAGGATTTGTTTTATTGTCAAAACAAATACATTAGAATTCCATGTAATTTAGCATTATTATCCTTGAATGTCTTGGTTTGTCTTTTGTAAAACTGCAAAACAGCCTCGGAAATATCAGTCTTCTTGTGAAAGAAAAAGCTGATTGCAACACGCTGAATACGATTGGAATATTTTGTGTTTCCCTGTGCGCTCCGTCCGTCCATCCCCCCTCCCTCTCTTCTCCTCTCCCTCTCTGTGAAATGCTTTCCTGCCCACTCAAAGCGCACACACACACACAGTGGCTGACGTCACTAGTTTTCCTGGAACTGGACCCCAGCAGGGAAATGTAAATGCTAACCGGCGAATAAGATGGACATTGACGTCAGTCCCAGTCATGCTGTGATTACAGGCAGTTCCTTTTGCGAGAGCAAGACGTTACCAAATGAATCACCATATTCAATGATATACAGGCAGCTCCAATGGCACAGATAAGGTTTATTTAAGGAGAAGTAGGCTACTGGACATAGATGTGGCAATAACACTCTCTCAGTGCTTCATCAAATAGTTTTCTTCTACAAAACAATGTTCTTTGTTCTCTGACTGATTTTGGATGGAATTCTGCACAAATTTAAACTAACATGTTGAAGTGAATGTAGGAATGTCAAATTCCTAGGCATTTTATTTTGTTCTGCTCTCTGTAGAGCCTGTCTGTGTAGCGATCATATTCTCTCTCACGTAACCACTCACACCCCTAGGAATCGGATGACATCAGAACCTTATTACGTAATCCACCGATGTATACTTCCATACCTTTTAGTCACTGTGTGAATTAATTAGACTACTTACCTTTCTGTACTTTTAAGGTGGTGGATGCCTTATTCAGCAAGTTAGCAGCTAATACACATGGTAGTGCTCTAAGAAGTGTTCCCCATCACACTGACTCCTTGCCTGTCTGTGTATTTCTGTGTTTCTGCCAGCTTCCACTGGTGACATGTCAGGCTACCAGATTTGCACTCCCACCTCCAGCCTGCCCCAGGGTGTTGTGATGGCCAGCTCCCCAGGCTCCCTGCACAGCCCCCCACTCATGGCTGACGAGACCACACGCAAGAGACAACTCCGCCTCATGAAGAACAGGTAGACTACACCCACATTAAAAAAAAATACTACAGTTTACTATAGAATACTACAGTACTTACTATATAATTATGTAGTATACTGTAGAATACTATACTACACACTGTAGTATCCCTCGATCATGTGTAGTACTTAGTATATATTTTTGTAGTATACTGTAGAATACTATAGTAAATACTACGGTATTATCCACCAAAAAACCCTGTAGTAAATAATACAGAAATGTCAGCAAAAACACTACAGTCCACAAAAACAATATATTTTTTATTTTTTCTTTAATTTGCCCATTCCCCTCCCCCATATCCCAATTTGTGCCACCCGTAAGTGAGAAACCTACATGCCAATTATAGACCATGTATTGTGTTACCTATGGTTAGAGAAACCGATGTACTGGTTTTGGAACATTTCTCTTTTAGTATTTCTCCAGTAGGTTTCCTCAAGGAGAAAGTCCCTCACTTGTATGTAAAAGATAATAAAACACTACAGTAAATACTACAGTATACTACAGTACAAAAACACTACGGTGAATACTACAGGAAAGTCCGCAAAAACATTCCAATATTTTTTCATGTGGGTACTAAACCACAGCCTTATGATCAAGGCGGGTCCTGCATGAGAATGTTGGCTAAGCATGATGGGACAGATCATCATCAAAATGCTAATAACATGTTTTTTTCATTCATTAATGCTACTAATTAACATGCATGTGCTGTATACTACATCTGCATTCTATCGCCTGGGTTCGGTGTCCAATCACCCATTCTTGGCCTGCCTTTTTTGAATGACACCATTTGCCTCAGAACACACACTGACATGCTTGTTGTACTTTGACATTGGATTGCTGTTGTGCATTTTTGTGCTTTGTCGTGCTTTCACCTGAGTGTTTGTCACTAAAAGCTATATTTTTTGTTGACATTTACACTCTGCTATTGCATGTATTATGTCACGATTATGTAGTCTCCTGCATGTTGATTTAGGTAAAATGCCTAATCAGTCACTCTGTGGTGGTGTTATTGCGTATGTTCGTTACCATTATCAGTCTTGACTGAAACTTATTGTGAGTGATTGTGAAAATACTGGATGTAAGCCTTTCTTGTTATGGACGTATGGCCTTGATATCTTTGTCTGTAGCTACCAGTCTTTTCACGGAGGCTGTGTGTTGTTGCTTCCAGGGAGGCTGCCCGCGAGTGTCGCCGGAAGAAGAAGGAATATGTAAAATGTATTGAGAATCGGGTGGCTCTGCTCGAAAATCAAAACAGGACTCTCATTGAGGAACTAAAAGCTCTTAAAGACATATATTGCCACAAAGTTGAATGACCACAGACTGCTAAAGGCTTGAGGGTGTGCGCCGCAGTAACAGTTTCCAGATAACTGTAAGGGTATCTTGGAGAATCCGCTTTCATTTGATGTCCAGCATCTGCTCTTACACACCAAAATATGCAAAAAAACATTCAGCGCGTTTCCCGATCCACTTGTTTAGAAGACATGTTTCCTACTGTCGTCATACAGCACTTACAGTATCTGGCCAGTTGTGGAGCGAGTACAGTGAGTATTATGAGGTGCCCCTGTTGCTTTTGCTTGTTGCAGGCAAGCAGCCAAAGAGTGCCGGCGGAGGAAGAGAGAGTATATTCGATGTCTGGAGACTCGCCTCACCATGCTGGAGGCCCAGAACAAGAAGCTCATGGACGAGCTAAACTACTTTAAGGAAATTTATGGAATTAAGTCAAGTCAGTAACAGTACAGCATATTGTACATACATGCCCTGTAGAGACATGCAATTTATGCCTATCATAACCAGCTACTGTACATAGCATTCCACAGTAATATGTTTATTTTAAATAACATATGCCATATCAAAACACAATGCCTATGGTTTTAAATTGTTTTTAAAATTCTTATTGAAGATCTGTTATTTGAAGATTTATCAGACAAAATGCTCCCAGAGGTTTATCTTGAATGACATGTGGAGTCCCAGGCCTGCACATTATAGCAATGTATAGGCATTATTTTGCAGAGACTAGGGCTTGCATAGAGAGTGCTCTATCTTAAGTTACCTTTTACAAAGAAACTAACCAGCATATATGTACTGTATATGAGGGATAAAAAATACAAATAAAAAGTTTATTGTACTATTTCATTACTATTTATTTAGTTGTTGTTTTTTATTGTTAGAAATCTTAAATTCTTCATGCACAGTGGTTTTTTGTTTGACATTTTTGTATTTAATCTTCATGAAGAGACATTGTATTGGTTGAATGTAAATTAATATATAACCTTATGTCACAGAGCACAAACCTGCCGTGACCATAATAGCTTTTGTTCAAAGTTCATGTGTTTGTAATGTTGTTAAAAGTTTGTCTAAAACAATTCAGCTAAAATAACCCATGACCCTTCTTGAATGTATTTCTCTAATCTGCACTATTGTTCAAATTCAAGTATATTGTTTTGTAAGTGAAAAACTCCTTATAATGCTTTGATATCAATTTGATTCTCAAATAAAATGTTTTACACAGCATTAAAAATCTATTTTTTTGTGTGATTTCTTTATATTTTACTTAATTGACCTTGAAATAGTTATCATATTGCTCAAAGTAACCACTTTAATGCTAGAGTTGCAGTAACAAATGATATTAACGCAGTAATGGGCTCCCCTCCGTGCTCATTTACCAATCACATTATGTTTTGTGTTTTATTCCCATTGTTATTGGTCCCTGAACCCATTGGAGACCATTTTTTAAATATATAAAAGCCTCCTTCAGTTTTCTGTTCTGTGAACCATGATTAATGAAAACTGCTCGTCTCCAGCCCAAACCGTTCAAAAGTTATAATATTAGTGGAGCTACATTTGTTTTATTTCTATCACAGAATCGCAGGTCAAATTTGATAATTGTATAAACCATGTCACTGGCCATTTTAAATTAGCTTACTCACGGGTTGCTAACTATTTGTTTAACAAACAACCTTGTCCAGTCATTTTACCTAGCTGGCTAACAACCTGTAACTTGCCCAGTAGGCCTATGGGAGACAGGAAAGGGGCTGGATAGGCTAGTCCAGGTATGTGCTTCAAAGGTAGGATCGACCTAATATATGTTTCTGGTGCTCCTATACTGTTTGGTGATTCTAACTTTTTAAAGTTGTGAGCACCAGTACCTTCTATAATGAAAAAGTTAAGTTTGAGCCCTATAGATATATTTCAGCTTCAAAGCAATTTCTCCATAAATCAGATTTGATAGAATGGAGGTAGTGTTGCTGCAATGGCTATCTATTGAGAAAAGACTGCACTTGGCTAATGCTGCTCCAATGCTTGCTTTACTGTATTCATGCACCAACATATACAGCACCATTTGGAGGCTTTTCTTTCTTTTCTTTTTGGCCGGGCACTGGTAGTTACATTTGGGATGTGCATATAACCCACAGACATACTGCTATTAAACCTGCTGCAAAGGAAGGGTCAGCCCAGCCCCCTAACCCTAGCTTCCTGTCCACATCCCGGTTCAACCCAAACCCTGGCTTCAACCACAACCTATAACTGCTAAACCAAACCCAAGCTTCATTTCCACATCTCAGTTCCACCCTAACCCTAGCCAAATGGGACGGGGGGGATTGCTGTGCTACAGACGGCTATATCGGTCCACTAATACAGGACTAGTAAAGGCCCAGTGCACTACTTTTGTGAGCAGAAAAAAAAACATTGGAATGTTCCATGTAAGATGCTTGCTCTCCCTAGTGGACAGTGGGTGGCAGGTAGCCTAGCGGTTAAGAGTGTTGGATCGGTCACTGGAAGGCAGCTGGTTTGAATCCCTGAGCTGACTAACTGAAAAATCTGTTGATATACCCTTGAGCAAGGCACTTAACCCTAATTGCTCCTTTAAGTCACTCTGGATAAGAGTGTCTGCTAAATGACAAAAATGTAATGGACAGTCAGTACATACTCTAACTAAACTGTTTTACTCATCACATGAGTTTGATTTGAGATCCTTTTTCCACCATGTGGATAAATGTACAACTACTAATTGACCATTCAAACATCATCTTCATAACAGTGCAATGCTTGCTTTAGCCTATAACCACTGACCTATAAGTAAGGGTATGCAATAAAGGCCTACAACCCTTTAACCCTAAAACTTCTCCCAGACTGAGCAAAGTCTCTCTCTCACAAATCCTCTGTCACGTTGCACTTGCAGATTTAAAAATGTGCATCAATTGGTAGTGACAGTGAATGTACAACAGCTTGCAGTAGGCCTACACTTCTCCCCACTCAGTTCAACAGCATCACAAAATAAGTATTGATTTAGCCTTTTTCAACATTTGTATTTTGTTTCTGACATGTAATGAGATGTCTGCACCAGTAGGACGCACTAAAGCACTACAGCATACAATATAAATAGGCCTACTGATATCAATGTAACTACTACAGTATAGTTCGTATTTCACACATGTCCCATTTATATACATTGCCATGAACACCATTCAGTCTAGATTGGCATGTCAGGACATTAAACCCCTGCCAGATGAAAGTGTGCCATTCACTATAAAGGATTATACATCAGGATTCCCTTCTGTTTACATTAACATTCACTAATCCCAGATAATCATTTTACTGCATTTACTGTAAACGGAAACAGGCCATTTTCAACCACATTCAATAGGTCTACAATAGATTAACGGATGGCTGGTCTTCAATCAATTGATGGGAGATTCAAATATAATTTAGAATATTGTAAAATGTTTTGAATGACTCAAAATTATGAGCACAGTTAATGTTTTTTTTTGTACATGTTTTATGACATATGAACAACAGATCATGTCAAAACATAAACTGTATTGATTGATTTCACAATTGGGTCACAATTTGTGTACATTCTTTGATACAATACATCTAATCTACGCACTTAAACATGATAATAAAAAGAACAGTTATTACTGTGTAGCCGTGTTAGGGCTACTATTTCCCCCATTTCCTAGACCTAGAGAATCAGCGCACTACTTGAAGAGAGGGAAAAGTAAAACTAGGCTACAGTATAGCATGGTCCTTTCTCAAGTATTTGAGCGAGCTAGTTTGGAACCACCCACTTGAACCGGAACCTTTTCCATCAAACGGCTACGTCGGTTACAATGCAGCGCTGTATCTTTAACGAGACCAGAGTAGTATTCGAATAGTTCTAAAATGATTAAAACGACATTGCAGATTTGGTTCAAATTGTAAGGCAACAGCCGACGGTAAACCTTGGAGATTGCGTGGGCAGAGCAGATTTCTGGGTCCGCCGGGGGATTTGGCTCAGGGGGAGTAGCCTAGCATTCGGATGTATTTGTTCCTTCTAGTTTTAAATGGCTCTATGTTACAGCTGCCTCAAATCAGGACCGGACAAGGGTGTGTAATCGAACGGATATTTCTGCAGTTCTTTCTACCCGCGCGCTGACAACGAATCCGCGTTTACGCCCTATCTCTCTCATCCGTCTGTTTCGTGATCGACTAGGAAGACGCTGACGGAAAATATACTTTAGCCTTTCTAGCCTACTACAGGGACCTAACGATGGGGAACACCACCTCCTGCTGCGTATCGTCGAGCCCCAAGATCCGGAGAAATGCCCATTCGAGGCTAGAATCCTACCGCCCCGAAGCAGAGCTGAGTAGAGAGGATACGGGCTGCAACCTACAACACATCAGCGACAGGGAGAATATGGACGGTAGGACATAAATCATGTGTTCTTCCCACACTCATGCGAGGTTTAAGTGTTATTGAATGTGATTTTAATAGCCTATATTTGGTTAGGCCTATAACATGGTATGCTAAAGTAAATTGATGGTTAATGTCATTATGATTATGGAAAACACAATTTAGATGGGAGCTATGCACATGAAACAGAAAAAACTACAACAAAAAAAACCTGTTCTTGCAATGCAGTCATTTACTTTATACCCAGACGAAAATAACCCATCATGCTTGGCTCGGAAACAAAAAAATCCCCTAACTTGCTCATTCAGTTACCCATTATGAGAATCCCCCCAAATGGCACCCTATTCCCAAGGCCCAATAGTGCACTATATAGGAAATAGGGTGCGATTTAGAATGCAGCCTGTGACGTCTGTCAGCGCCTGTGGGACCCGGGCTGGGCTGGACTGCCTTCCTGGGTTTGTGTGTGTGTGTGTTGGTAGGAACTAGGGAGAATCTAGTCCTTTACTCTGGGCCCCTCCATAGGGCCCCTCCATGCAATGGGTGTATTGTGGGAGGACCAAAGGGCATATGGAGTCCACCATCCACATATGTGTGTGTGTGTGTGGTGTGCAGGTCAGCTGTTTGTTCACCCGCACCTGCCTGCAATTGCTAATAACCCATCCGCCACCGCCCGACTATATGTGAAAATCTGAGACCCGCACCTAACCCGCTAATAGAGAACATGCGCTGTGGGCTACAGTCAGAGATTGCGGAACAAATTTTTTGACAGGGGGTGCAGGATTATTTTTGGCCTGATTTAGATATGTTTCTACTTATAATTTCTGACATTGTGGTAGGCTATTTGTTAGTGAACTTGTCTATAATTAAGTACATGCAGCTTCTCTTCTGTCATTTATATGTTACCCTAGAAGACTAAATAAATCCTTGCTCACCAGAATACTATCATAAAGCAATAGAATGAATGCTTCAAACTAGTTGACATCGGTCAAGTTTTCTCTGTCATCTCTGCTTCTTTCGCAGAGCAAAGACGTTTAGGGACCTGGGATAAAATGCA